GACGTATTTTTGCTAACTCGCATAAGAACCCCTCAAATTCAGCTCAAAGTTTCTCTGTGTGACGGAAGACGGCCGTCTGTTCCATATATCTCGGTTACTGTAAGGGCTATCAAAAATCTGTCAACTAATAAAATCTTAGCACAAGTGTTGTTAACATTTGTTCAGTTGACGTATTTTTGCTAACTCGCATAAGAACCTCTCAAATTCAGCTCAAAGTTTCTCTGTGTGACGGAAGACGGCCGTCTGTTCCATATATCTCGGTTTCTGTGGGAGCTATCAAAAATCTGTCAACTAATAAAATCTTAGCACAAGTGTTGTTAACATTTGTTCAGTTGACGTATTTTTGCTAACTCGCATAAGAACCCCTCAAATTCAGCTCAAAGTTTCTCTGTGTGACGGAAGACGGCCGTCTGTTCCATATATCTCGGTTTCTGTAAGGGCTATCAAAAATCTGTCAACTAATAAAATCTTAGCACAAGTGTTGTTAACATTTGTTCAGTTGACGTATTTTTGCTAACTCGCATAAGAACCTCTCAAATTCAGCTCAAAGTTTCTCTGTGTGACGGAAGACGGCCGTCTGTTCCATATATCTCGGTTTCTGTGGGAGCTATCAAAAATCTGTCAACTAATAAAATCTTAGCACAAGTGTTGTTAACATTTGTTCAGTTGACGTATTTTCGCTAACTCGCATAAGAACCTCTCAAATTCAGCTCAAAGTTTCTCTCTGTGTGACGGAGGACAGCCGTCTGTTCCGAAAGTTTTGTTTCGATCTCATATATCGCGGTTTCTGTGGGAGCTATCAAAAATCTGTCAACTGAGAAAATCTTAGCACAAGTGTTGTTAACATTTGTTCAGTTGACGTATTTTTGCTAACTCGCATAAGAACCTCTCAAATTCAGCTCAAAGTTTCTCTGTGTGACGGAAGACGGCCGTCTGTTCCATATATCTCGGTTTCTGTGGGAGCTATCAAAAATCTGTCAACTAATAAAATCTTAGCACAAGTGTTGTTAACATTTGTTCAGTTGACGTATTTTCGCTAACTCGCATAAGAACCTCTCAAATTCAGCTCAAAGTTTCTCTGTGTGACGGAAGACGGCCGTCTGTTCCATATATCTCGGTTTCTGTGGGAGCTATCAAAAATCTGTCAACTGAGAAAATCTTAGCACAAGTGTTGTTAACATTTGTTCAGTTGACGTATTTTCGCTAACTCGCATAAGAACCTCTCAAATTCAGCTCAAAGTTTCTCTCTGTGTGACGGAGGACAGCCGTCTGTTCCGAAAGTTTTGTTTCGATCTCATATCGCGCGGTTTCTGTGGGAGCTATCAAAAATCTGTCAACTGAGAAAATCTTAGCACAAGTGTTGTTAACATTTGTTCAGTTGACGTATTTTTGCTAACTCGCATAAGAACCTCTCAAATTCAGCTCAAAGTTTCTCTCTGTGTGACGGAGGACAGCCGTCTGTTCCGAAAGTTTTGTTTCGATCTCATATCGCGCGGTTTCTGTGGGAGCTATCAAAAATCTGTCAACTGAAAAAATCTTAGCACAAGTGTTGTTAACATTTGTTCAGTTGACGTATTTTTGCTAACTCGCATAAGAACCTCTCAAATTCAGCTCAAAGTTTCTCTGTGTGACGGAGGACAGCCGTCTGTTCCGAAAGTTTTGTTTCGATCTCATATCGCGCGGTTTCTGTGGGAGCTATCAAAAATCTGTCAACTGAGAAAATCTTAGCACAAGTGTTGTTAACATTTGTTCAGTTGACGTATTTTTGCTAACTTGCATAAGAACCCCTCAAATTCAGCTCAAAGTTTCTCTGTGTAACGGAAGACGGCCGTCTGTTCCATATATCTCGGTTTCTGTAAGGGCTATCAAAAATCTGTCAACTGAGAAAATCTTAGCACAAGTGTTGTTAACATTTGTTCAGTTGACGTATTTTCGCTAACTCGCATAAGAACCTCTCAAATTCAGCTCAAAGTTTCTCTGTGTGACGGAAGACGGCCGTCTGTTCCGAAAGTTTTGTTTCGATCTCATATATCGCGGTTTCTGTGGGAGCTATCAAAAATCTGTCAACTGAGAAAATCTTAGCACAAGTGTTGTTAACATTTGTTCAGTTGACGTATTTTTGCTAACTTGCATAAGAACCCCTCAAATTCAGCTCAAAGTTTCTCTGTGTGACGGAAGACGGCCGTCTGTTCCATATATCTCGGTTTCTGTAAGGGCTATCAAAAATCTGTCAACTAATAAAATCTTAGCACAAGTGTTGTTAACATTTGTTCAGTTGACGTATTTTTGCTAACTCGCATAAGAACCTCTCAAATTCAGCTCAAAGTTTCTCTCTGTGTGACGGAGGACAGCCGTCTGTTCCGAAAGTTTTGTTTCGATCTCATATCGCGCGGTTTCTGTGGGAGCTATCAAAAATCTGTCAACTGAGAAAATCTTAGCACAAGTGTTGTTAACATTTGTTCAGTTGACGTATTTTTGCTAACTTGCATAAGAACCCCTCAAATTCAGCTCAAAGTTTCTCTGTGTGACGGAAGACGGCCGTCTGTTCCATATATCTCGGTTTCTGTAAGGGCTATCAAAAATCTGTCAACTGAGAAAATCTTAGCACAAGTGTTGTTAACATTTGTTCAGTTGACGTATTTTCGCTAACTCGCATAAGAACCTCTCAAATTCAGCTCAAAGTTTCTCTGTGTGACGGAAGACGGCCGTCTGTTCCGAAAGTTTTGTTTCGATCTCATATATCGCGGTTTCTGTGGGAGCTATCAAAAATCTGTCAACTGAGAAAATCTTAGCACAAGTGTTGTTAACATTTCTTCAGTTGACGTATTTTTGCTAACTCGCATAAGAACCCCTCAAATTCAGCTCAAAGTTTCTCTGTGTGACGGAAGACGGCCGTCTGTTCCGAAAGTTTTGTTTCGATCTCATATCGCGCGGTTTCTGTGGGAGCTATCAAAAATCTGTCAACTGAGAAAATCTTAGCACAAGTGTTGTTAACATTTGTTCAGTTGACGTATTTTCGCTAACTCGCATAAGAACCTCTCAAATTCAGCTCAAAGTTTCTCTGTGTGACGGAGGACAGCCGTCTGTTCCATATATCTCGGTTTCTGTGGGAGCTATCAAAAATCTGTCAACTGAGAAAATCTTAGCACAAGTGTTGTTAACATTTCTTCAGTTGACGTATTTTTGCTAACTCGCATAAGAACCCCTCAAATTCAGCTCAAAGTTTCTCTGTGTGACGGAAGACGGCCGTCTGTTCCGAAAGTTTTGTTTCGATCTCATATCGCGCGGTTTCTGTGGGAGCTATCAAAAATCTGTCAACTGAGAAAATCTTAGCACAAGTGTTGTTAACATTTGTTCAGTTGACGTATTTTCGCTAACTCGCATAAGAACCCCTCAAATTCAGCTCAAAGTTTCTCTGTGTGACGGAAGACGGCCGTCTGTTCCATATATCTCGGTTTCTGTAAGGGCTATCAAAAATCTGTCAACTGAGAAAATCTTAGCACAAGTGTTGTTAACATTTCTTCAGTTGACGTATTTTTGCTAACTCGCATAAGAACCCCTCAAATTCAGCTCAAAGTTTCTCTGTGTGACGGAAGACGGCCGTCTGTTCCATATATCTCGGTTTCTGTAAGGGCTATCAAAAATCTGTCAACTAATAAAATCTTAGCACAAGTGTTGTTAACATTTCTTCAGTTGACGTATTTTTGCTAACTCGCATAAGAACCTCTCAAATTCAGCTCAAAGTTTCTCTCTGTGTGACGGAGGACAGCCGTCTGTTCCGAAAGTTTCGTTTCGATCTCAATTATCCTTCTTTCTATGGGAGATTTCTGTGGGAGGTTTCTGTGTGCGTCAGTTTTGCTGCAAACTTTGCCAGGGGTTGCTGTGGGATAAGACATGGGCGTGATTACGAAATGGTGTGAGCAAGTAGTCTAGGTTTTGCGTGCCCAGTTTCCCACGTTGGCAATGCAGACCACTTCCACAGCAAATAGCCCAAAATCCCATCCATATGGTCAGCTTTTGATCGGAAGTTGGATGTCACCTCCCCATTTTCGAGTTTTGAGAAAAATCTTATCAAGATCGGTCCCATTGCTAAACTTCTTCGGTTTTTCTATCTAAACATTAAATAGACCCGACCAGAAACTCCCCAACTCCATTCATAAACTGCAGACCAGAATTTAGTTCCCCGCTCCAGACTTCTTATGATGACACTTGGAGTAACACTAATTGTATTGCATGGTAATGACGTTTATGACCCTTTCCAACCAAGGGCAACATGACACACTGCCAACTGGGGAGATGGGAAAGATTAGCGTATTGTGTGTTGTTCTTCACAACGTTAACCCAAGTCCTTACATGACAGGTGGGAACAATAAAAGAGTGTACATATAGAGAGTCCCAGAGCATTAATCAATTGAATGTTCGCCCCGCCCCTATGCCTTCGACACCCATTAACACTCACACCGTTCATTCTCTTATACGATGTCTTGACTGAATAGACGTCTAACATTTTTGGGGTTTCTCCGCAAGGAGAATTCCTCATTCATATTTTCCTGAATATTTTCCATGCCTATACTGGTTTTATTCATAGTCAATTTTTTGGACTTTTTTTATAAAGGTGAGTTTTTCTCGTATTTGACCTTAAAAAGTAGAAAAAGATCTTTTTGAGATTCAAGAGGAAGGAAGTGACGAATGTGCTCAAGCCCTTCAAAATTCTAAAAACGAGGCAGCAAACAAAGAGCAAGGTCAAGATGAAGCTGATGAGATCGAATATGATGAGCAAAATGGAGCATTACCAGATTGGGACTATCTGAATGCTCACTTCTCCAGAAATGTTCTAAATGATTTGGAATCGGAGGCCCAGGATGTTCCGGAGTTTGTTGCTAAAGAAATTATCGTTGCTTCAAGTCTGGCTGATGTGTCAGAAACCCCAGAAGGACCACAGAAGGCTGACCGGGACTTTGAAATTTTTGGAATTCTACCACGACTCATAGTTCTTGTTCTAAGAATTAAGGTCGAAGTGGTTCAGGATATTGATCACGAAATCGAAGCTCCAGATCCTCCAGAGCACATTATCTATGAGCTCCAGGATCGTTTGCTAAAATTCCAAAATACAATTCCAATGGTATAGAGTTTATGATCCGGAGACTCGGGAGCCCTTGGTTCTCCCATTCAATGGCTCAACGGATTTGAGCAGCTGGTCGGTAAGTAGTTATTTTCTCTTTCGAATCAAAACTTTTTAATTTCAAATCTTTTCAGCGATGCCAAGCTCAAGAGTTACTGCGCCAGCTCATCTTCCCATATGCCGCGAAATGGGTGGCTTCAAGATGCCTAGAGGAATTTGAACTCATGTTCGAAACAAAAGCGGCTCAATTTTTTGAAGAATTGAACTCCTTGATCACTCATAAAAACCAGGAGATTCAGTGGCTGGAATAGGAATAAATTTGGAGGGATGTTGGAAAGGTTCGAAGAGTGCAACTGGACAACATTTAATTTTATTCTACTTATCTATCATTTCTGCTTCCATTCATCCATGTGATAAAATATTTTTGTGCCATTCTTTAAATTTTCAAATGTTTTCCTGTTTTCCGATTTCTACTCATGGGTTCCTATGTTTTTTTGGTATTTATTGAGTAATGATTCGAGATCATGCATTCTGACGAGAAGTGTGTCGCATGCGACCGATGCGCGCTGCTTGACTAAAATTCATTTTTAATATACACTAGATTTCTTCACTAATTTTGAAAATTTCCATGTCTGGCCTCCTTCAAACTAAAAAAAAGTGAAATTTCTTATTTATTTATTCTTTAGGCACATTTTTTCAACAACTTCACTCATAAATTGAACAAATTTATTGACATTTCAAAACCATTAAAAAATAATGAAATCTTGACACTTTTGAAATGTTAGCGATGCAAACCAGACGCCAGAGATTTTCAGAACTCCTTCGACGTTGGAGTCTGAAAATTGTAATTCTATTTTTTTTGAGCCAATTTCGGTCTAAAAATGTTTTTCCAAAAACCCACCAGTCAGTCCGTTTTCGGTGAAAATTTCATCGAGTTGGACAATTTACTCTCAGGATTCGACGAAATTTGTGAAGAAGTGATCACACAAAACATCAGAATGGCGAGCCAAGTGCTGAAAATTTTTGATGGGCCAATTAGGGGTAAGCAGGAGCTATTGTTCATGATTTTTGACCCTGTTCTCAATATTTTTTCTAATTTTACAAACTTTTCATGACAATCTTCTGATTTTTATGCCGCTTTTGTTGGGATTTTTAAACAATTTTCCCGGTTTTTGAGTCAATTTCCCCTAACTTTTTCTGCCTATTTTCCATGCTACTCGAACCATGTTTCATGCTTTTAAAGCTGTTTTCTCGGTTTTTAATCCGTTCTTATTACAAACTGGTCAAAATGATGTCTTAAAGTTCTTTGAAATCTTGAAAAAAATGAGAATTCGAACAATTTTGTCAGCAAAACAAATATTTTAACATCTCTGAAAGGAACATCTCTGGAAGTGAATGAAATTTTATAAATATTTGAATAAAAACTAACCTTGAAAAATATATAAATGTAGAAGCTCCATTCATTCAAAGATGCTTTGAAATTTACACAGTAAACAAAAATATAGAAAAATTGAAATTTCATAAAAACCAATATATCTGTTTAGACGTCTATTCAGTAAGTCGTCATCATTGAGAAATGAATCAAAAAATTTTTGCGAGTTGTATGTTTATCTCTTCCTCGTGTTTGCCAAGACATCTTGAAGAATTGACGAGACGCAGAGAAAGCCCAAATCGTTTGATCTTTTATGAACGTGTTCTGAAATACCAAAGATAAAAAAGCTCCGCCTTTAATAATTTCTTCTTTCTATGAAGGGTTTTTGTATTTTTTAAAATGTATTTGAATTCAGCTCATTCAGAGCATTTGGCCCAACAAGCATTTTCGGCAAGAAGAGGCTTTTCAACCGTGTTCTCTACAAACGAGAAAATACCGAAAAGAGATGAGTGTGGTTCATTCCGCAACTCATATTGTTCGAATGATGGCAATTCCATTGTCCAAGACTGGTCAGAAGATGGTGATGACGATGAACCGCCTGATGTTGGCAAAGCAGATAGAAGGCTCGATAATTAAGAAAACGACGAGAGTCCAATTGCCACCCAGAATGAAGTTTGTGATACAAGTGACAAAACTTTTTTTATCGAAAACTAGGACAATCTTAAAAATGAAAATAAGAATCATCATCAAAAGTTTCATAATTTCCAAAGAAATTATTCGTCAACAAAAAATGTGACGGTTTTTCTTCTATTAGGTTGGCTAAAAAATAATGAGTGGCGCGTTTGTCGGAACGTATTTCTCTATCCAGAAAACATTTTTGCTCCTTCTTTTTTTTATTCGAAAGATCGTTCCTTCGCGCATCGTTTGATATATAATTGTAATTTGCTATTCTGTTTTTTCAATTGGGAATTTCGTTTTGAAAACGTCGTTCCAAAAAATGCGCTGGTAGGTACAAAATTAGGTTGGTCAAAAATGCCGCGCAAGCTCTTCTTTCTCTCTCAAAAGTATTCGAACATAATTCTCTATAGAAGAATTGATTCTAACGCTGGTTTGAACTTTTTCATAATGACGACGAAAGCTTGGAAGACCGTGAACACACCGTTCGACCAAAAATGATTAACAGTGACCTCAAAATGATTAACAGTGAAAACCATTTGCACAAATTGGAAAGTGGAACAGTTGCGGAAAGTTTTTCCTACAACCACTCCTTCCTCGCACTTGTCGGAATTATCATTTTCTCGAAGAATATCGCTTTTCTTTATTCTTATGTTATATCGGATGATAAAGTGATTCAGTACAATAATACTATTCAAAATAGACAATGGTTGTCTTTTGAATGACCGACCAAAACAACTCGAAATGAGAGATATACGAAAAGGAGGTGTATGGTAGAAGAGCAAGTGTCTTGTATATTGTGAAGTTCTGAAAAAAGGTCTAACAGCCACTACTAAACTCTATCAATGATAATTGGACCAAATGCAGGAAACGTCTAGACGTCAAGATGTGAATACACCAACGACAAAATCTCATCATGATAATGCTTGTCCGCATGTGTCAAAAGTCACTCAGCAGAAAATCGAGGAATTGGGCTGGGAAGTTCTTCCTCATTCGCCAAGTAGCCCTGATTTGGAACTTTCAGATTTCCATTAATTCATATCGATGCGACTCTCATTGGCCGAGAAACACTTCAAAAGCCGCGTTGAGACCGAAAAGTGGGTTGTCGCCTTCTTTCGGTCGCAGCCAGTGGGGTTCTTTCACAGAGGAACCCACTCTTTGCGCAAACGTTGGCGACAAGTAACTGATAAAGATGGCTAATACCTTTTAAGTTAATCTTGTCTACTTTCTTTTTTATGAAAAATTTAATTGATCATGAAAACAACTATTATTTTTTAGCCAACCTAATAGTTTTCGAATTAAAAACATTTGAGTTTTCTATAAACTTTGGAATTTCTGAAATTTCTTCAAACAAAAAAATTAAAGATTTGCAAATAAAAAATCATTTATTATTATTATCATTAAAATTATCAAACATTTAATCCGAGTACCATTTGTGTGGTCTTTGTGTCCATTCCCGTCGCGATTGGGTTGTTGTTGCCTGAAAAACCAGAAAAAGTTGAGGGTCAAAATTTCGGGTATTCTTTTTCGATTTTTTGGGGTAATATAATTAAAAACGTATTTCAGGGCGCCAAAACTCATTTTTGAGTTCATTTTTCAGACTTTCAACACATAAGGATCATTCTAAGAAGTGTAAAAGTTACCATTTTCACCTCATACCCATCTAGCATCACCCGAACCCCATCTAGCACCATCCTACTCCCAACTTGAGGCCCTAAAACCTGTTCCAGGGTTAAAATTAAGTACCATAGCTCAATTTTGGGCATCTCCAAACTCAAAAACTCACCCCGAAAATTTCAACTTAAACTACTTTTAGGACCCCCAGACTTATTCCAGGGTTAAAATTTCTAGTTAAAATCATATTTTAGCACCTAAAAGACTCCAAAACTCACCCCAAAGACATATTTCTTTCCCTTGAACGCCGTCGATGTGATCTCTCTGCGACTTTGATTGTAGACCCAGGAGAGCTTTCTTCCCAAGAACTTTTTGTCGTCGAACTCGGTGAATCCTTTGACCGTAGTGGACAAAAATCCCTTGCCAAATTGACATTGACGAGCATCATACTCCGCCAAGTTCCCGTGCTCAACACTTGAATCCCTAACTCAATGTTCTTCTTCCTTCTCGAGCTTTCCAATTGCTGATCCTTGTATCCTGATGAGAGGTCCTTGGAGACTTGCGTGTCCTGGACCATTTTTGCCAGTCGCGAGGTGTACTCGTATCCGCAGCACTCGGCGAGCCTCGAGATGAACGAAGACTCTGTTTTGTCGGACGTTGACTGCTTGTCGAGCAGACGTTTGCAGAAGTGTTTGGTGTAGAACTTCACGAAGATGTTCTTGTCTTCCATGTATTTGAAGGTGGTAATCTGGAAAATTGGTTTTTTATCTTTTGAAGTGGCCAAAAGTACTTTTCTAGCGTCTAAATTTGCTTCAAACCGTTAAAAAATTGGTTTTACACGGTTCTAATCGATCAAAAAAGCTTTAGACCATTTTGAGCTTTTAAAAATCTTGGAAAATCAAAGTATTTAAAAATTGGTATTTTTGAATTTTTCAAAGTTTTCAAAAGACTGGGCGGAGACTGAGAAATTTTTAAATTTTTCAAAGTTTGAAAAAATTAGATTTTTGTGTATTTGAAAAAATAAAAATTTTGAAAATTTTCAGAAAATCGAAATATCGAAAGTTAGAAATTTGAGTTTAAAAAACACTGAAACTAAAACATTCGAGTAATTCAGAAATGAGAAATCCTGTATACCGAAAAATCGAAATTTTTTGAGGATTTTGAATTTCCAAAGTATTCGAAAAATTTCATATTTTTTGAGCAATAATACAAATAATTTTTAGAAAAAAAATCACCAATGAAAAATTTCATGATTACTGCCTTATCAAAATATTCGAAGGTTTTTTTGTTTTTTTTTGTTGTGAAACTGTATAAAATGGCAAAGAAACTAACCTTTGAAACCCTCAACAATATCATTAGAGACTTCACTTAATTGAAGCTGCATAGTAGAGTAGAATATAGAAAAATCGAAGTCCAGAAAAATCAAAATAAGAGTAAAAATATAGACGTCTATTCAGGAAGTCGTCTTCGTTGAGAAATGATTCAAACAAATGTTTTTGAGTTGGCTGTCTATCCCTACCTCGTGTTTGCAGACATCCTGAAGCGTTGGAGAGACGCAGACAGAGCAGAAAGCATTTGACCTTTCTTGATGGTTTGCCAACGCTTCACGGAATACATATGCATATGAAAGAGTGCCGCCTTCAATGATTCTGTCATTCTATGCCGGGTTTTAGCATATTGAACATTATATTCGAATTCAGCTCATTTAGAGCGTTCAAATGAGATCCAACAAGCTTCCTTTCGGGAGAAAGAAATTTCTCAAGAATCTTTGGCTCTTTATGGTTTAATGGGGGTTTACAAAAGAACAGCGGTTCAAATAATAGACAGGAGTTTTTCTGCTTGTTCAAAAATTGGAAAATGATGTTTTTTTTCGAATTTTTCAAAAAATTTTAGAAATTCGAAATATTTGAAAATTCCGATTTTCTGACCACTTTGATTTTTTTGGGATTTTAAATGGCTCATTCTTGACAAACTTGAAAAGTTCAATTTTCGGTTTTTTTTTTCAATTTTTGTATTTGGTATTTCTCCGAATTTTCGATTTTTTGATTTTCTGAATATGTTCAAAACTCTTTTTCTTTCGAACTTTTGAAATTTCAATTTTTTTCCAAATTTCAATAACTATCAGACTCCGCTCATTTTCCAGATTTTCAAAAAATTAAATAATACCAATTTTTGAAATGTCCATTTTCAATATTTTTTAATTTTTCGATTTTTCAAATTATTTCAAAAACTTTGGGAATTCCTAGAAGTTTGAATTTTCTGACCTACGTTTTTGACTTTTCCAACAGAACACAGAAAATGTGGGTCAGTTACTCGGCCTGGCGGAGGGCTTAATTGTCAAGTTTTGAGGTTTAAAAAAAATGAAAGTTAGTTTTTTGAATCTGGTTAGTTTTGAAATGAAAATCAGTTTTTTCGATTTAAAAGCAGCTAATTTAGTTCAGATTATCTGCTTTCTTTTATTGCTAACAATTTGAATTTTTTAAATAATTTTTGATTTTGAAACGTAACTGGAGAAAATCTGAAAATCAGACAATTGTGAAAGAGGTGAGAGAGTTTGAAACTTGAAATTTCCAGAAAAACCAAAGACTAATCATGATTAAAACTATCATTAAGTGAGTTGTCTGGAGACCAATGCTCCTTTTTTCCGTGTTGTTGGTGCGCACATTTTGGCTACGACACTCCGGAAAAGCGGGGGAGCGCACTCTTTAGCAGCGGAATTTTTTTACTCGCCTCTTACAGTTTCAGCTTTATCTTCGTCGATAGCTTCTGTTTCTTTTTACTTTCGATTTCAAAACATTGTAAGCTGCATGAAAACTGTTCTCAATTTTTCTTTTTGTCGGCTGGAGCTGCACAATGTGAAGTTTTGGCCAAAGAGTGTTGTAAGTCTCAAATTTTTCTCATTTTGGACAATATTATTGTTATTTTTCAGGAAAGCGCTCAGGATTCCCGGCGACCTTCACGGATGGTTTAAGAACAAATTGATCGGAAAGATACACATGATATGTCAAAAATTGCAAACTGAGAGATCAATTCAGTGAGAAAAAGAACCAGCAAATGCATTCATACCAGCGTCATGCTTCCGTATTTGTGGCCGCACCTGATTTCTGATGCTCATGAAAGTACTACTGGAATCACAATCCGATGGTTTTCAACGATTTCATAGCTGAAACGATTTTCAACAAAAGCGTCGTCATCGCATGTTCGAGAAGGGACCATAGTGTGAACGAAGTTGAAGATTATCGATCTTTGGTGTCTTCTTGCTGAGGTCTTCTGGTGTATCGGTGAGTGTTTCATGAACTTGCAATTAGAGACAATTTTTTCAGGTAAACTACGGCCGCACAGCTAGGTCTGAATTATTCAACAATCGTCAAGATGAATTCTGCAATTATCATTTTTCAGCCGTTCCACTGTTATTCTGAATACGCACTGGCTTCCGACAACGCTTTCAAATGTTATATCCATCGACTTATCAATTTTTGCCAGGAAAATGTGCGATTATTCTACCATGGGCAATATCTGAAGGTTTTCGTCAAGCAGTTTCTTGATCTGCTTGATGAACAAAACGTCGTCAGCTGCAAAAGTCGTGGTGGCATCACAAGTTGTCTTGCCATCCGACATTTGTGGTTGACGATGCGTCAAGTAGATTATCGAAAAATGTTCTGAATGAGCAAGTTCTTCTCAATATTTGAGTTTTTATATTCGACGTTCTCTTTTGGACGTGTGTAAATGCTGTCGATCCTTCTAATTATCTTCTTGATTTTGTGGATGAACCATCTGAGAACTCATAATTCTTGTCTAATGGCTATTTTCCCCCAATTTTTTGTGTTTCTAATCGTCGATGTCCTGCGGAACTCCTGGATAACGGAACACGTTTTCTTCCGCAGCGGAGAATGGGTTAGCCTCGCTTTCTGGTTTCAGCTTTCTCTTCGTCAGATTCTTCTGTTTCTGTTTCTGTTTAAATCCTGAAATTTGCAAACCGTAGCCGTCAAGAGCTTTTTTAGGGGACCCAAAGTGCGCACACTTCTTTTCACTGACGCATTTCATGTGCGTGTAAACAGGAGGAGACGCAGACAAGACCTTGACGCAGTTTCCGTGTGCGTAGTATTGGTTTTGCTAGTTTCTACAAATTTTTGCAATTTTAGCATGTTATTTAGCAAGTTTTTCACAGAAAGAAGATATCAAACTGATAAAATAATGATTCGCAAAACTGAGAACAATTTGCTCAAACAATAAAATGAATTTTGGGAGAAAAAGTGGTGTAAGTCTTAAATTTTTCTTATTGTGGACAATATTATTGATATTAGACTTCAGGAAGCGCTCAGGACTCCCAGAGATTTTCATGGAGGTTTTCGGGACAAATTGATCAAGAAATCACGTTTGATTTGTTGATAATTGCAAGCTAAGGTGCCGATTCAGTAGGAGAAGAAGTAAACGAAACTTCATTCATACCGCCGTAATGCTCTCGTATCTGGCTTCAGAATCCAACAAACGTGCTACTGGGATATGAATCCAATGACTTTCAACGATTTCTCAGATGAAAAATGAAGATGTGCAGCAACTAAAAACCACTGACGCTCCGTGATGATGGGACATTGCCATAATCGGTGGAGAAATTCCGGTATTTGTTGGTCGACGAAAACTCGTTAGATGTACCCTAAAACATCTACACTCCCATAATTTTTCGAATTTTCGGAAACTGCTGAAATTCAAGTTCTTTAACAAAAGCGTCGACATCCCATGTTCAAGAAGAGTGCATGTTGTGACTGTAGTGGATGATTATCGACTTTTGGCGTCGTAGACATTCTAGTATGTCTGTGAGTGTCTAATAAACTTGCAATTAGATTACTTTTTCAAATATACTACGGCTGCACAACAAAGTCTGAATTATTCAACAATCGTCGAGAGGAAAATCTATAACTATCATTTTTCAGCCGTTCCATCGCTATTTTGGACGCACTGACTTCCGACATCGCTTTCGAACGAGTTTTCTTGGACATAGTAACTTTTACGAGGGAATTGTGCAATTATTCTACCATGGGCAACATCTGAAGGTTTTCTTCAAGCAGTTTTTTGATCTTCTTGATGAACGAAACGTCGTCAGTTACAAAAGTCGTGGTGGCATCACAATTTGTCTTGTCATCCGACATTTGTGGTTGACGATGCGTCAAGTAGATTATCGAAAAATGTTCTAAATGGTGAGTTTTCTGTGAAACACTGTGATTTTCGAAGAAAAGATTTTTCATTAACAGGAAGCTGTTTTGCAGGAATTCAGCAACTGAGGACTAAAGAAATTGAGCGGGTCAAAATTTGGGATAACTAGCTCAAAAATTAAGAGTTAAAACACAATTTTGGGCACCTCCAACACACAACAAATCACCCCCACACATATTTCCACGACTCTGTGTGTAGACCCATGATGGTTTTTGTCCCGAGAACATTTTATTGTGGAACTTAGTGAAGGGGATTTTCATATACGAGCTTTTTGAAAACACAGAGTAAGCAAATCTCAGAACTAAATGATACACGTGTCTAACGTTTTACAGAAAAATATGCGTGAATTAGTTAACTCAGAAAAAAGTTGGAAGCAAAAATTAAGATTTTTGGGCTCTAAAACCGGTTTTTCAAAATTTTCATATACGAGTTTTTTGAAAACACAGAGTAAGCAGATCTCAGAACTAAATGATACACGTGTCTAACGTTTTACAGAAAAATATGCGTGAATTAGTTAACTCAGAAAAAAGTTGGAAGCAAAAATTAAGATTTTTGGGCTCTAAAACCGGTTTTTCAAAATTTTCATATACGAGTTTTTTGAAAACACAGAGTAAGCAGATCTCAGAACTAAATGATACACGTGTCTAACGTTTTACAAAAAATATGCGTGAATTAGTTAACTCAGAAAAAAGTTGGAAGCAAAAATTAAGATTTTTGGGCTCTAAAACCGGTTTTTCAAAATTTTCATATACGAGTTTTTTGAAAACACAGAGTAAGCAAATCTCAGAACTAAATGATACACGTGTCTAACGTTTTACAGAAAAATATGCGTGAATTAGTTAACTCAGAAAAAAGTTGGAAGCAAAAATTAAGATTTTTGGGCTCTAAAACCGGTTTTTCAAAACTTTCATATACGAGTTTTTTGAAAACACAGAGTAAGCAAATCTCAGAACTAAATGATACACGTGTCTAACGTTTTACAGAAAAATATGCGTGAATTAGTTAACTCAGAAAAAAGTTGGAAGCAAAAATTAAGATTTTTGGGCTCTAAAACCGGTTTTTCAAAACTTTCATATACGAGTTTTTTGAAAACACAGAGTAAGCAAATCTCAAAAATATGAGTGAATTCGTAAGCTCAGAAAAAAGTTGGAAGCAAAAAATATTTTTCTGTAAAACATTAGACACATGTATCATTTAGTTCTGAGATTTGCTTACTTGTGTTTTCGAAAATTTCGTTAATGAAAATTTGAAAAACCGGGCTTTGAGCCCGAAAATCTTGATTTTTGTTTCCAAATTTTTTCTGAGTTCACGAATTCACGCACGTTATTTTGAAAGCTTGAAGAGATGACGACATCAGAATCCGGCAAGAAATTCGTTTCTATTGATTCGATTATTCAAACATCTTCAGAGAACGTTGATTCGTCCATTGGGAGAAGATCCGATAGCGGAAAAATTCAAGACTCTTGACGATGAGATTGAGAAACTCAAAGAGAGCAAAGAAAATGTATGAGAGGCTGTTTTGAAAGATTAAAACTTTCTTTTTAAATTGCAGATTTTGTTGAAAACGGTTCAAATCAAACTCTACAGCCTGATGCACTTGATCAGTAGTTCCTGGGCCAATTAAAATATATAAATCTGTTTCTTTTGTTCGTTGTTGTATTCAAACTTTTTTTCTATTTATTGTACCATTTGCCCCATTTTTAATTTTATCACGTACCTGCTTAAAATAGTTAATTATTATGAATGGTTGCATAATATGACGCATGTGTTAACTTGTTTGTTTTTTTCACAGAACTGTGAGAAAAAAGCAAAACAAGTTTCTTGAGCAGCCGTGTTTTTCACAGCAGAGCGATTTTAGATTGAGATAAGTCATCTTTTTTTCGATTCCGTGGTTGATTTTTTAAGTACAATTTTCCAATAACTTTAAATATTGAACAAATTTATTGAAATTTCAAAACTTATTAAAAATAACAAAAACTTTACACTTTTAAAATGGTAGCAAAGCAAACCAGACGTCAGAGATTTTCAGCACTTCTTCGACGTTGAAGTCTGAAAATGTGAGAAAAAGTTTAAAAAATTTCAACTTGTTGAGCAGATTTTTAGTTTTTTAGTCAGTTTTAGGTCTGAAAATACAAAAAAAAAGCTTACCAGTCAGTCCGTTTCCTCCACGATTCGGCTGAAATCTCCTTGAGCTCAACAATTTTCATTCGGGATTCGACGATATTCGTGAAGAAGAGACCACGGAAAGAATCGGAATGGCGAGCCAAGTGCTGAAATTTTTTTAATTGGGTAATTTTGGACCATTTTCATGGTTTTTGAGCCAATTTTTCTTACATTAAATTTTTTTGCCAAATTTTCATGATATTTGGATCATTTTTCATGTATTTTAAAGCTTGTCAAAATGATTCTTGGAAGAATCTTTTGAGAGGATGAGAATTATAGATCGAGAATATAGAAGAATTGAATGTAGACTTTTTCCCAAATATGGATTTATTCGAATGATAAAGTATGGTCAAATCCAGAACTTATATACTTTTACAATAAAAACAAAATAACATCATAAATTGACTCATGCGATTGATTCATGTGATTGACTCATGCGATTGACTCATGTTTGGAAAAACCTTCGATATTGAGCTCGACGATATCGACGTCGATACTCCCCAGGAAAACGGGAACGGCAGCGACGGCGGGAACAGCATAGTAGAAGAAGAATGATGATGAATAAACAGAGCCATGAGGAAATCCAATTGTCGATTAAGGAAATGAAATATTCATACATCTTCTCCCAAACAGAAGATACAAATTCCGATATGTTAGTCCAAATTGTATCCGCAGTGATCAATTCTTGCACATGGAAAAATCCTGTGGAGAGCTTGTTGTTGAAGGTCGGTATAGTAGATAAGGATCCATTGATGGCGAAATGGAATTTCTCCGGTCCACAAGAACTGGTGCAGTTCTCCACGACATTGACATGATTGGTGAGTATGGGGATAATAGACATCTTTCCGTCAGTGGAACAATTGGCAAAAGAAGTGAAGGTAGAGCATTCTATATTAGAAACTATTTGAGGGAAATGTGAGGACTTACAGAGAACAGTAAGTTGACCGCCAGAACTGCAGGAATGACAACCTGAGAGGATAGTCTTCGTAATTTCACATTTGTCTTCCTTGACCAAACGGTGTACAGTGTAGTTGGCCAAATGGAGTTGAACAGAGAGGATACTCGACGATGTCAAATGTGTAGTGACTTTGTTTCCTTGACGCTTCAGCATAATGGAACCTTCAATAGCTGTATTGTTAATCATGTTTCGATTCATGATTTCTTCGAGGTCCAATACTTCGCATTCGCATTTCAGAGCAACTCCTTGGGTGATACAAGTGCAAACATTTTCGTCAAACAAACAGTTGAAGTCGGTTGCGTCCTTAGCAGTGGCACATTGGACTTCACTGAATGTTCCTCGAAGAGGTCTTCCCGCTTGAGCAGGCTGAGATAGGGAGTAGGAGATGTCCGATATTCCGTCCAAGTTCATCCTTCTCAAGAATAGTGCTCCATGAATTGGGCTTGGTGGAATCGAGAAACCAGTGACAATCAGGGACATGTTATCCTCCAATTTTAGTGGAATGCCATGATCAACTTCGTAGACTGTGGTATTGTTGTTGATAGTGACACTGATTTCCAACCGTGTGTTCCATGTCGGGCACTGGAAAATTTCATATATAGAAAATGAAGTGGGCTCTGCACTGATTCTGGAAAAGAGACATGATGGTGAGCAACTTCCGCAATCACAGGTGACACATCCGCAGCTTCTGTAGCATCTACTGAATCCTGGTCCATCCATGGCTATTGCTGGGAATTCGGGAACGCCATCCTCTGCATTCAAGTTTTCACATGTAGATCCTTTGCAACTTCCCATACCGGCACATCGATGTGAGGAGAAATGATTGATCTTCATCTGGCGGGTGAAGTGATGGCTTCTTTCGTTACATTCGGAGATGATGGAGTTTGCTCGTACTTCGATGGTTTTGACTTCTTTGACGTTGTTGGAGATGGTGAAACATCCGACTTGACTGTTGGGACGGATGTTGATTGAGACGACTTTGTTGAGATGACAAGTTTTTCCATCGGCTGAAGCGGTGCATACATCATCTGTACCTTGAATAGAAGCAATTTCGTTGCAACTGTAAGATCCTTGAATCAGACATAGGAGTACGATGATGGTTGGAGAAATTTGACGGTGTTGACGACATTGTTTCGATCCGAGACGAACGATTGAGAACACACATTGAATGCATTTTTCGATCCACGTGAAGAGACATTGTAGTATGAGAATGAAGTTGATCCATCCATAAATTCCAAAGAACATTAGTAGAAACAATACGATAGTGATCCATTGATGAAGATGGCCGAAAGTAGTTGGTGATGAGTCAGTGGTGGTAGGTATCGTTGTTGTTGTACATTGACAAATTTCGAATCCTGATGATCCAGTAATGAGTGCCAAAATGGTGATTGCTGAGAAGAATTGAGTGGGCATCCTCAGTCTGGTTGATCGTCGTAGTTGCGGTCCTTGATTGTCTGTAGTTGTGGATTCAGTTGAAGTTGGGTTTGGAACTGAATCATTGGCGTCAGCTGTCGGCGTGGAAGATGAGTCATTTGTAGATTGTTGAACATCTGGTGGTCTTTCCAAGGGAAAGAGGAGTTTGAGTGGATATTCCACGATCCTTTTTGTTTTTCCGTTTTTGACGATAGCCGATCTTTCCTTGACTTCCAGAATTCTTGCAAGAGGTTAAGTAGTAGACTTGCTGGATGGTTGATTGATGAGGACGATGTCTCCAATTTCAGGCTGATAGCTAGAAGTCTTTCCTTGAGGATGAGAGAAGTCTCTTCTAGCTTGTAGAACGCTGATGTAGTCTTGGTGCCATTTCCGTTGGAATGTTTCCGTCATTGATGACAGACGTTGCCAATCCTCAGCCAATGATCGTTTCGATAATGGAAGATCGTCAAAGTCTTGAGGTGTGTTCAAAATGAGCAAGTCATTTGACGGCCGTCTTTGAGGGAATACGAAGTCCGTTGGAGTGAGTGGTTCGATATTCTCATCGGTGGTCTGATAGGTCAAAGGGCGCATGTTGATGGTGCTGACACACTCGGCAAGGAGTGTACGGAAGTCATCCAATTCGAAGAGTGTTGTTGAGGAACCAGCTCGGAGAAGTGCTCTCTTGATGAGTGAAACCATGCGTTCATATACAGATCCTTCCCATGGTGCATGAGGTGTGATGTAGTGAATGGTGGGGAACGTAGTTGAATCCATGATGTTGACGTTTGAAGAGATTTTGTTCTTGATCAATTTGAACACATCTTCTAGAAGTTTGAATTGTGAAGCGTTGTCTGACAGGAGTTGCTTTGGTGTTCCAAACAATGCAGAGAGTCGTCGGAGGGCGTTGAGATATGAGCTGGTGCTCATGTCTGTTACGACTTCGGCCATGGTGTACCTGGAGTAGAGGCAAGTGAAGATGATGATCCATACTTTTTGTGGTGAATTGTTGATCTTGACGAGAAGGGGACCAGCATAATCGGTTCCAGTGAATTGGAAGGGATTGGAATGTGTTGTCCGTTTGTCCGGAATTGGAGGGAATGGTGGTTGAGTAAACGGAGTGATGTTGATACGGCGGCATCCAAGACATTGTTGACATACTCTTTTAATGTAGGAGATGCCCTTTGGAATCCAGAAATGTTGACGGATCTTGGAGAGGGTGAATGATGGACTTGAATGAAAGTATCGTTGATGAGTTTCCATTATCAGAAGATAACAAATGTCTCCTTTTGGAAGGAAGATCAGCGGTCTTGAGGGTACACGTCCATCGAACATCCAAAGGTCATTGTCTTGATCCTTGTGTAGTTGAAGAGCTTGGATTGTTTCAGGAGAAGGAGGATCGATTCGTTGAGCCAATCGGAAAATCAGTCGTTTCGAACGAGCGATTTTTTCTTGTGTTGAGCATTTTCCGCGAGTGATGAAGTGAATCAATATCATGACCATATGAAGGAGACGGTGGAATGAGCTGAATCTGGTAACGTTGATTGCTGGAGGGTGGGAGATGGATAGGGCAGAGGTGACGGTAGTTGTTGCAATTGAATTTGAATTGAGACGTAGTGGAAGTGGATCAGAAGATTGTAGAAATGTCGGTCCTTTGAGCCATAACTCCGATTGTTTCAGCTCTTCGAATGGTAGTCCACGGGTGAGAAAATCTGCAGGGTTGATTTTTCCGGCAACGTGAGAAAAGATGAATCGTTCTCCGAGTTCGTTGATCTCTCGTACTCTGTTTTTGACAAATCTGCTACCAGAAGTCGATTTTGTGTGAAGACTATCAATGCTACAGAGACTGTCGCTCCAGACGTATGCTTGATGTATCTTGAGACCAATGTGTTGGAAGCAGTAGTTTCCAAGACGAACTCCAGTGAGAATCCCGAGAGTTTCCAGTTGTGGTATACTGTACTTGGACTTGACTGGAGCTACTCTCGATTTGGATAGAAGATAGTTGGAATCTGCTTTTCCATTCGACTGTGTGATCCGAAGATATGCAACTGAGCCGTAAGCAAGTTGACTGGCATCTGTGAAGATGTGTAGTTCCAATTGATCTGTCTTGATGTTGAAGTTATCGGGGAAGAGTTTCCTTTTCAGGCGCCATTCTGATCCTGTCCATTTTGTGCAAACATTTTTCCATGAGTCATGTTGATTGAGTGACAACGGAAGATCCCAGCTCTGATCTTTGGTAGCAAGTTGTTGGAAGAATAGTTTACCGTATAGTGTAACGGGTGTCAGAAATCCGAGAGGGTCATAGCAAGAAGCGATGATTTTCAAGATTTTCCTTTTCGTTAGAAGTTCTGTTTTGGGTACTGGAAGCATGAAGATCATTTCATCGGTTTCGGTGTCCCATGAGATTCCAAGAATTTTCTGGTTACGGTCAATCGTTGTATCCTTTTCATGCTTGACGAAGAAGGTGTTGACGGTTGAAGAATTCGAGCAGAATTGACATAGGTTCATTTGAGCTTCAGCGAATACTTTCTTGGCAAAAACGTAGAAATCCATATCTTCTTCGGCGGTGTCCAATCCCATGAAGACATTATCGACGTAGAATGAGTTGATCATGGCTTGAGCCCAGGTATGATCATATGATTCCAAATGAGTCCGAACTGTTTTGTTGAGAAGATACGGTGATGGTTTTAGTCCGAATGGAACTCTGCGATAGCGATAGCAAATGAGATGTCCATCTGTAGGGTCTTTCCAGAGAAAACGAGTCACGTCTCTGTCGGTTTGATGAAGCACAAGTTGCAAAAATGCTTTTTCGATGTCGCCGGAGATGAGAATGTTGTGTTGTCGAATACGAAGCATTATGGCAGCAATATCAGGTAGTAGTCGTTCTCCGGTATGAAGATGATCGTTTAGGGAGTGACTAACTTTGTTGGTTTTGGCAGACCCATCGAACACAATTCTTACTTTTGTTGACTTCGAAGTTTCTTTGATGACAGGGTGATGAGGCAAATAGGATACCACGGGGCCGTCTGAGATGGATTCATCAGGAACTTCTTCAATGAATTCCAAGGATAGTTGTTCAGTGAAGATGGCAGCATATTTCTTGAGCATTTCCGGGTTCTTTTCGAGTTGTCGAAGAGCACTCTGTAGTCGTCCGTATGCTAGAGCGCGATTTGAAGGAATGTTTCGTTGATCTGCATATGGGAGTCGTACTACATATCGGCCATCTGCTTGGCGAGTAGTCGTCTGATGAAAAAACTGGTTTGTTTCTTCTTCTGCTTTGCACTGAGGATTGATATCCTTGATTCCGATTGATTCCAGTGACCAAAATTTTTGAAGTTGCTCACATAAATCGTCCTTGGTGTTTTGGTTGTTGACGATGTTGGAGAAGGTGATGACGTTTTGTTGAGGGTGTTCCTTTCCAGAAAGGATATGTCCGCAGTCCGTGATGTGAAGTTGAAGTCCAGAAGATAAGCGAAGGGTTTTCACTTGTCCGAGAAGTAGAAGGTAGTGATCAAGTCCAATGAGCACATCGATGTCTTTGTGTTGGCGGTTCAATTGAATTTCCTCTCCTTGAAGGAGCTTGTCGCAGGTAATTTTATCTGCATCCACTGCGATTATGTTGCTGGCTATGTGTGGTACTTCACACAGATTGATCGATTTTGTTGATGTTTTCGTTTTGATCAGTACGTTGAAGATGTTGGAAATCATTGACCGAGTGTCGATTGATCCAAAAGTATTGATCCGAAGTTTCTTTGAACCGATTGGGAGAAGTTGTAGTCGTTCAGCAAATGATGATGAGATGTAGCTGGTATTGGATCCTGTATCCAAGAAGATGGTGCCGATGTGTTCATTTCCGTCCTTGTCGAGAAAGGGTAGATCGATGGTCATCATTATGACTGGAAGAGGATTCTGCTCCAGAGAATCCAAAGGTTGTGTGTCCGTATTTGTTTCCAATGTAGCCTCTTGGGGTGTGACGTAGAGATGTAGTTTGTTGTCCGGATGGTCGTGCTCTGTGTTGTTGATATGAGTCACGGCTAGAATGTCGTCTGGTGTTTCGTCGGCAAAGATGGAGTGTGTTTGTTCGTGAGTTCCGTGCGTGTAGTGGCTCTGATTTTGATTTCGTTGAAATTGTCGTCTTTGGTAGCGTTGATATCCGTTGGTGTCCGAGTTCCCAAATGAACTTCCATGTCCGTTCTTGTTTCCGTTTCCTTGGTATCCGTTGTTGTTACTATTTCCGTGTCCAGTGGAATTTCCGGTGAGCATGTTTGCTGTTGGCCGAGATGAGGAGTGCTGCATATGTGTGGGTTGACGATTGGCGTGTTGATTTTGTTGTCCTGTGATGATTCCTTGACGTGAAGATTGGTTCCTGGAGTTTTGATTCTGTCCAATTGATCTTTGACAAATGGACTCATGGTGATTTCCTTGACAGTTCCGGCAGTTTGATGAGCATCGTTTGGCAATGTGTCCGCGTTGCAAGCATTTGTAGCATAATCCGAGTTCGGTAATCCGTTCCTTACAAAGTTGTATTGAGTTATATTTCCGGCAAAGGTGAGGGTGATGCATCATTCGTTCTTCGGCACACAGTGCACATGGTATTTTGACTGGTTGTCTGGGTGGTTGATTTTGTCCATTGGTTTGTTGTCTGTGGTCCTGGTTTCTTCGGTGGTATTGGTTGTTGACTGCTGACATTGTGGTCACATTCCGGTGTCCGTTGGAGGTCTTGTTATGAATTTCCGCTACCAATCGCTCCGCTTTTGAGATTTCCTTAATTTTTTGTAGTAGTTCCTTTGTTGATTTGGGGCATTGGGATTCTCCTGGTCCGTACAGCTTGTGGATTATTCTTTTCGGAAGTTTCGATTGAATCAGTTCGCAAGTTGAGAGGTTGTCGATGTCAGAGTGCATGTTCAGTAGTTGTTCGAAGATCATAGCGGCTTGAATCGTGTAGCTTTGTAAATCGGCGGGATTCTTGTTGTTAGACAAATCTGGCAGTTGGCGAAGTTTGAGCAGTAGGGAATGTTTGATTCGAATTTCGCCTCCGTACATTTCTTCAAGTGATTTCCAAGCTACTTGCAAGTTTGATGGGATGATTGGAATGCTGCGGGGTAAATCAGCTGCTTCACCAGTGACAGACGTTTTGAGGTACTTCAATTTGGTGACATCATCAACGTTCAAGTGGTTCAGGATTGATTGGAACTGCTCCTTGAATTCGAGATACTGATCGATATTTCCGTTGAAAGTTGGTGAAGTGATCTGCGGGAGGTTGACTTTCATCGGTAGCCATTGTGTAGATTGTGCAGTGCCAATCGGAGTTGTTGGTTCGATGTTTGTAGAACGTATGACGATAGGGGTTTCTTCTGCCGCTGGTTGTTGTTCTTCTTCTTTTTGGCTCCGCGCTGTTGTGTCAGCTGACTGAATTTCTTCTGGTTTTGGCAATTGATCTTCTCGTGAGGGATCCAATTGAAGAAGTCGGTTGCGTCCGAGTTCATACAATGAGTGGAGTTCGGCGAGTTTCGTTTGTCCTTGACCAAGGAGACTTCGATAATCTCCGTACTTCTTCACATATGTTGACTGAATTGCAGCTTCATCGGGGTAGTTGGCGATGAGCCCCCCTGGGTCACCATGTCAAAATGATTCTTGGAAGAATCTTTTGAGAGGATGAGAATTATAGATCGAGAATATAGAAGAATTGAATGTAGACTTTTTCCCAAATATGGATTTATTCGAATGATAAAGTATGGTCAAATCCAGAACTTATATACTTTTACAATAAAAACAAAATAACATCATAAATTGACTCATGCGATTGATTCATGTGATTGACTCATGCGATTGACTCATGTTTGGAAAAACCTTCGATATTGAGCTCGACGATATCGACGTCGATAAAGCTAATTTTTTCAGCAGTTTTATCTACAAACACGTAAAAGTGACGTTTACAGGTTTTACGGAACACTTACTTGGCTGCGCTTTCAATATCACCACTTTATTCCATACGATCTTGCTGGCGTCCAATTCAATTCCATGATGCTCGTAGATCACTCTCTTTGGTGTGGTTGACTGATGCATATTGTGTTTGAGCAAATAGGCATCAGAAATTCCCAACTTGACTGGGTGATTGGCACTGGAGATTATCGAAATATTGTATGGCACAGTTTTGTAGAGGAACACAATGTCTCCATTTTTGAAGGCCGCTGAATCTGGAGAAATTTTAGAAGTTAAGCGAATTTTCCAAACTCTTTCTTATCCTCGTTTTATTTTTTTTCGAACCTAAACTACTTATATGCTTATTATAATTTGCAATATGAACGACATGAAAGCTAGAAAATTGATTTACTTTATAAAAAACTTTTTTTTTTGTTAACTAGTTCTTGAAGGAATGTGTTTAAAAATCTATTAAGAATGCGTTCACAGATGTTCGAGCGTATTTTCAGAATACTCCGAGATATTTTTTTTTGGGAGTGAATGAAATTTTATAAATATTTAAATAAAAACTAACCTTAAATAATCATTAAAATATAAAATGTAGAAGCTCCATTCATTCAAAGGTGCTTTGAAATATACACAGTAGAAAGAAATATAGAAAAATTGAAGTTTAATAAAAATCAATATATCTGTTTAGACGTCTATTCAGTAAGTCGTCATCGTTCAGAAATGATTCAAAAAATTTTTGTGAGTTGTATGTTTATGCCTTCTTCGTGTTTGCCGAAACATCTTGAAGAATTGATGAAACGCAGAGAAAGCGCAACTTGTTTGATCTTTTATGAACGCGTTCCAAAATATAATAGATGAAAGAGCGCCGCCTTCTATGATTTCTTCTGTCTGATAAGGTTTTTTGGAATCCTGAGAATTATATCTGAATTCAGCTCATTCAGAGCATTTGAATGAGACCCAACAAGCATTTTCGTCAGGGAGGACCGTTCCAACCATATTCTCTGGAAAAAAGATGAAGATGGTTCTTCCAGCAAATCCTATTGTTCAATAGATTTAAGATAGGTCAGAAGATGGTGATGACAATGAACCTTCTGATGATGTCAAAAAAACATAATAGAATGCTCGATAAGTAAGGTAACGACGAGAGCCCAATTACCACCCAGAAGGCTTCTCGTGATACCAATAAAGAAATTTCTTTCATCGAAAACTAGAAATAATCAAAATTGTGTGTAATATTCAAATGTAGAGTGCGTCCTAATAACCATCCCATTTTTTAATGTTCTCAGAAAAGTTACAAACTAAGAGAAAAACTGTTAATCCTTTTCAATTCAGCTTCCAGCAAAACTTTCATGTCTCCCAAAATTAAGTACCAGTCAAGCGTATTGGGATCACATGGAACAAAAGTCTATCTGCGTACCGCTCCATAAAGCGCCACTCTGGAATATGAAAAATCTCACGTTTTTAAATAAAAAAATTGAAATTATTTTGGAATTAGTTGAAGTACTCTTAAAACAGTCCATTTCGCTAGTTTAAACCAATATTGATTTTTCTTTACACGTTTTAGACACATATATTTTTGAATTTTTTGAAACTCCGCATCGTTTTTTATGAAAGTTCAATTTTTTCAGCATTTTTGAATTAAAAAATGTTGTGTTTTCTAGAAGTTCTGGAATTTTCTATTCTTTTTCGAATGAAAAAATTAAAATGTTAAAAAAATTATAGTGATCCAAATCTTATTTCTATTATTATAGTTAAAATGAGTAAAAAAAAAGAAAAACGGAGATAGGAGAGCTTTTTTGGAGAATTTTTTTTTTGTTAATTTCCAAAATTCAAAATTTCTCAGACTTTGCCCAATCTTCCGAAAAATTGTAAAAATTCAAAAGTACAAATTTTCAAAATCTTCACTTTTTCAATAGTTGAATTTTTTGATTTTGCAGAATTTATTCAAACATTTTGGGATTTCCTAAAAGTGAGATCTTTTCCACCTACTTTTTGGACTATTCTAACAGAGCTCTCTTTAATTCCCTTTTTAAAACTTTTCAGTTTTAGAAATCGCTTCATTGTTTAGAAACAACGTATCTGTTTACTGTATATGTTTCTTCTTTTCGATTATTATCGCCTAAAAAACTTGATTTACTGTACATTTTTTGATTGCTTTGTATTTTAATGTCAGGAATTTGATACCCCAATATTTCGTGGACAATTCTTTCATCAGAATTTTTGCGAGAAGAAATGGTGTGATTAAAAATAAAACATATTTTTATCCGTGCTCTGTTCAATAGAGTTTCGCTTCCCTCCGAACATTAAGAACGGTTCTATTCACGATTGAGAGTTTTTGTACTGACGATATTCCAGCTATCTAAAAATTATTGCGCAGTTAAAAATGTGCCAGGTGTGCGACACGTATGCCCTCTCTGCCCTCTATATGACTTGCTGCGCGCAAAACAACAACAGAAGAGACACAGAAACTGCACACTAGATGGTCCGTTCGTTTAGAGAGGAGTCGTTAATCGGTAGATAATGGGGGAAGGTCACATAAACAACCGTCGGTTTTCCACAAATGAGAGCGCAACCAATCGAGGAAAACGATCTGCAAGGAGAGAGGTCAGTCTTGCTCTGTGCCCTCCTATCGTTGTGAGAACGTCTGAGGGAGAGTAGTTTTAGCGCGCTGGAAAGTAGATGTTTTTTTCTCTTTTCTTTTCGTCTCTTCATTTCTCGTCATTTCTCTTTCTTATCTACACCGGTCATCAGACGCACTCTGCGTCTCTCTTCTCTATAGCGTGTGGCAATGGGGCGCATTTGTTCATTGATTATTTTCTTGATACATTTTTCTTCGTTAAAACACTATTCTCAGCAGGTTTTCAGTCGTTTTCAGTCATTTTTCTAGGTTATTCGAGAAGAATTCTCTGTTTCAAATTGTTTGAAACAGCTTTCACTTCCAACAGTTCAGGTGTTCATGTTATAGCTCGTTGATTATTGCTCTCCTTTACAAAAAGGAAACATGAACAAGATATGCAATATTTCAGGTGACAATGACTGATGAAGGTGTGGAAAAGCTCGAGAAAAGTCTCGGCAAGCTGAAACTGGACTTTCCAACGTCGATCATCACCAAATCTTGGCAAAAATCGACATATCAATTTCATCGCGATTCCAAAATCGAGCAAATAATCGAAGCGTTCTACTCTCGCAAAACCAATGGCCCAAACCGAAGACTAAAGGAGCTCGAGTGGTTTGCACGGAAGTTGGAAGCAGTTTTGTACGATTATTCGACGTCAAGAGAGGTTTATGAAGATGGAATCGACGCTTGCATTCGGACTATGAAGAATATGGTCCAGACTGATCCAGAATTAAAGAAAATCGCTGAAGCGAAAGGTAATTGTTTCGAATAGTGTGAAAAAGTTTTAAGGAAGATGAGAGAAAATCGAAACTTACTAATTTTTCCATCCATGATGTTAAGTTTCCCTCCCAATATAATGTTCTCACTCATTACGCACAGAGAAACATTTTTCGAAAAAATTTCAATTTACTAAAATTCCAGGAATCCCTCCCACTGAAATGCTCGAGTCAATCTTCAAGATAGACGCGGAGCGAGAAGACGACGTGGACGAAGAGGACGACCTTATGGCGGAGGGAGCAACTGTCATCAATTTGGTCTCGCCCGACCGATTCAGACATACCAAGTTCGATTTGAGAAGTGATAAAAAAGAAGTGGTGATCAAGGTGAGTATTAAGAGTGATTTTGAGATCAAAAATTGATTCGAAAAGATTCAACAATGAAAATTTTTTGGGAGAAACGATGTCAGACAGATTGCGCCAAAAACTAAAAAAAAACAACTAAAAAAAGGATATTCTCTGGCTATTCTACAAGCTATCAGCAAAATACTACGCGCTGCCTGCAAAAGTTTTCGTTTCGTTTGAGTAGTTTGCGGGGTGATCCCATCGGCAGGCCTGCGATCTTCGGATCCATTTTCCGATTCATCTAGGAAAACGCAATGATTTTTTGTTGCCTTTTTCGATTCTTGTAACAACTACTATGAAGCGAAGCTAGAATTTAAAGAAAACAGTTCAGGCGGTTTCTCTGCAGAAGAGCGTTTCAGGCCGTTCCTGGATAATTTTTCAGCCGAAAATCGCGATGTTGGCCCAAAAGCTTTCACAATTATACCTAACACGGTCTCCTGCAAATTTGTTACGAACTCCAATTTTATTTGTGATCTACAGATAAAAAATTTGGCCCGATCACAATTGCAGGTCTAAAGCCACATTTACAGCATTTTTTATCTGGTTTTGTGGAGATTCAAGATGTTTCAAATGATTCTTAAAAAATTAATTAGAGGTTATAGAATCCTGTATGGTTCTTTTCCGGAAGAAAAAATTTCAAAAATGACAATTTTTAATTTTAATTTTATTAATTTTCTAAGAATCATTTGAATCATTTTCAATCTCCACAAAATCAGATAAAAAATTCTGAAATTATGGTTTTAGACCTGCAATTGTGATTGCGCCAAACTTTTTTCTGTAGATCAAAAATTAATTTGCAGTTCGGATATGTTCTGTGGGAGACCGTGAACTTGTACTTTTCGCAGGAATTAATAAATTTTTGAGCAGTTTTTGTCGCGAAATGAAAATTAAAAACAGTGCGAAATACAAGAGTTTTGGCAAAGTTCATTTCAATCTCGACATGTGTTTGCTATACAAAAAAAAAGCCACATACCAATTTCTGAGTTATTTCACGACGATTCTAGGGAATAATCTTGCTCCAAACAGTGTGTCAATCGTGAACATTTATAGAGAAGAACCTCCAGCACTTCCAAAGAAAATCCGATCCTGCTGCCTTTACAAATACCCCGATTGGGTACAAGGTATGGTTGGCGGTGAAGGTGGAGGAGGTGGTCATGGACATTCTCACGGTGGTGGCGGAGGAGGACTTGGATCTTCTCAGGTGAGGGCAAAAGGTACGCATATATTATCTAGCTGATCACAACCAGGTTTGGTCGTAGCCTCACTCCAACCAAGCCTCATTCCAACTGCTTTCACTTTTACTTCTTATTCGAATTTTCAGGGTCAATTCCATCCATCTCAAGCCGGTTCCGGCCCGAGCACCACAACCACCAGTGGCCGTCCGCTGCTCCGCAGGTAAGAAATGTGTGAAAGAATTGTGATAGCATAGTAGAAAATGGACCAATTCGTTTTATAAACATGCACCAGATGCTTTTGAACATTTGCCGCATACTTTTTCAATCGGTTTATTGTATTCAAAAGACGTTATGTGTTTTCAATGGCACATACAAACGATAGCGGGGCCGTTTAGATCTGAGGATGCCCGTTACATAATATCTCTATAAAAACAAATGAGAGAAAAGAGTGCGGGGAAAAGAACAAGGAGCAGGAGTTAGTCTATTTGAAATATTCACAATCACTTTTGCCATGCCTCTGTGATTTTTCTGCTCCTTCTTCTTTTCTTCCATCCCGATCAACAGCTGACACGGAAGGGAGTGCGAAAAAGAACACGGCGTCAGACGATTTTGTGCTATTTTTCAAATCTTTTCACACACACACATACACAAATATCTATGATATAGTGTATCACCTGTGGTAGAGACAATTATTTTAATCCCTAAAAAACGGCTAGATGAATTTGTGCTGTAAATTAGTGGCTGGGGTCTATACACCCACTATTCGAAACATTCCCATTAGCAAAGATGAACAGTGGTGGTGGGTTTCAAACTTAATTTCATAAATGGAATAGAATTTAGTTTTCGGGATTATTAACTCATAAATTCAGAAAAAAAAACTTTAGCGATTTTAAAAATTCAAAAAATCTCTCAAATATCAACATTCCGCAAATTCTCTCACATACTTTTCCAGAGCTGAACATAATTCTTCAAAATACTTACATGAAAATCGATCTATCATTTTAAAAAGTGGTTTGGCAAGTCTGGAGCAGAGGTTCAGAATTTTTCATCTAATTTTCTACATTTTGCCTGTTAGGAAACAGGAATTTTCGAAATAGGAAAAAGGACGATGCTAAAAGAACTATTCTATTTTTAAAAACTCATTCAAATTTCAACAAAATGTAGAAAAAAAATGCTGAAACCTCGCTCTAGATCTGCCACACGATTTTTCTCATGATAAAAATGTTAATTTGGGAAAAATTGAAAATTAAATTTGCAGTTCGTGTTCCATCTGTGTGGGACCGTTTACTAATCTATTTCAACACAAAATCCCAAAAAGTCAAGAAAAAATCCTCTACCGGAATATTCTTCAACTAAAAAAACATTACAATTCTTCAGACAAATCTAGGGGGTTCGTCACTGCATCATATGGAAATGACATTTGCAAAAATTCAAAATGTTGACATTTGAACTTTATAATCAAATCCAATCAAAACCACTAATACGAATTTGCATATATATTTTTTCAGCATGCGAGAAGCGCAGTTTCACTCCGCAGCACCACCGATCTCAGCTCCAAGTCAGTCCCAAACATCAGCGAGTCAGCTGGACCCAGGTGAGAATTACGACCTCTTCACATTTTTTTCTTCACTGTATAGTTTGGTAATATTGAGCACTTTGCTTCCGAAGTATCGCATCTTTTTTTATACAACGAGTTGTCATAAATCAAGCACTCGCACCCATCACTTTTTCCTCAAAATTGTCTTCCCTTCGACAGAGCATGTGTTCAGGTTCTGGTCAACAATCCCGTCGAAGCAGCAAAGCGGCCGGCGTCGGAGCTAATTCGTTGCTCAAACAGGCGATTGCCAACAGAATGATGCCGCATACAATACCAGAGTCGTCCTCAACGAACGTACCGTCGTCTTCTGCCACGTCGCCTACCACAGATCCAACTGGAATTCACAAAACTGACTCGAGTGAGATGACAAAGAGTGTGCTTTTGAACCCCGCTTGGTATCGTGATGATCAGGGACGAACTGGATACAAAACTTCGGATTGGGAGAAGATGGGAAATCAACAGAAGAACGTGGTGAAGGAAAAGAAGCACAAACGGAAAGAATCAGAAGCTGGAGTCATCAAAGAACTGGATTCGGACCTCCTCAGTCAGTCCTGTAATGAAAAAGCTGATAGTGAAAAGGACAACAAATCTTTGACTTCTGTACAATCTGACCAGAGGGATCCCAAAGACGTGAAGCTGGAAAAGAAAGCAGCCAAGGCTCTTGAAAAGGAAAAGAGGAAGCTGGAAAAGGAAAAAAATAAATTGGAAAAGGCGCAAAAGAAAAAGGAAGCAGAAGAGGAGAAGAAACTGAAAAAAAAGAAAGGAAGTTCAACAAATGTTTCGGAGGTTGTGGAACAAGAATCCGTTGAGATGAAAGCTGTAGAAAAAAAGAAGGAAAAGGCAGAAGCTACAATAAAGCTGACGATGGTTTCCAAGAGCAAAAAGGATAAGTCTTATGATCCAGAAAAGACAAAACAACAGAGGATAGAAGAGCCAAAACTTCATGAGTCTACAGAAAGTGACAGTTCCAAAGATACGATGAGGAAGTCATCATCATCGAAAGAAAGCTCAAAGGGAGTCATCAAACAATCATCACAAAAGTCCTCTAAAGAATCTTCCAAAGAAAAAATCCAAAAACAGTCATCCAAAGATGAAGCTCCCGAGAAAAGTTCCATAGTTGAAGGTCGTCCTCCACCAGGAACCACACATTTTTCTGTCAGAAAACTAAAAGCTGAATCGACGTCGAAGAAATCTGGACAAGGCGAGCCAAGGAAGAAGAATATAGGAGACAGAAGGGACTCGAGTATGTCCGAACTTTCACGCGGATCCTTCAAATCTGTGACATTCAACGACCGAGTCCAAACTCATGAAATTGAGAGAAATAGCAGTGTTTACACTTCCAGCGAGGACGATGCTGCAATCATGAGTGATGATGAGATGTCAAAACCTAGTCAAGCAAAACTTAAAAAGAAATTGACACTGTTGCAACAGCAGAATCCGTATGGGGAGATGGATTCGAGAAATCAGCAACAAGAGCAGACTGACATTTATGATGATGATGACCTAGATGATTTTGAAGAGCAGGAACGACTGGCGCTGTTAGCTGCACAGGGTTATGATTTCCGAATGGATATGCAGTACAGAGAAGGCGGTGATTATGAAGATGAAGAATCCGAAGAGGAAGAAGCAGAAGACAATGAAGATGGAGAAGACACTCTCTCCCAAAATAGCTACTACGCTGAAGACGTGGAAGGCGCCGACATTTATTTGCGGAATGAGCATACGTTTTTGGGCACTGATGTAGATCGTCGTACTCAGGGAACCCCAAATCTTGGAGTTTACGATGGATTTGATAGAACCATGATGGGATCCATGAGCAAACTACATGGAGAGGACTCTGCTTCGAATAGCTTGCTCTTTGGATATAATCTTCCAAGATCTGCAAGTGGATACTTCGAGCCGCCACCAGAAGCTGGGCACATGAACTTTTCTTATGAAGAGGCAATTCTCAATCGACAAGTTCAGGCCATGCAACAACAGCAACTTCTCCAACAGCTTCAAAAACTTCCTTTTCAGCAATCACCCCAAGAGATTCCAGGAGTTCATAAGCTGAGTCCCTCTGGCGGGTCGCTCCGCCAAACTGCCACTCAGAGAAGTATTTATGAGAATGTAACACAAGGAGACAATTCACCATCTCCACAACCGCAATCATTAATCATTCCCCAGTCGCCTTCTCAACGGAGTATACAACAAGCGCGACACGAATTCTTCACTCAAACCCCATCCAATGTGGTTTCGAAGACTATAATGGCGGCGTCGAGTGACGGGCAGAGTATAAAAAGTCTTGGAAGTACTGACTCAAGTGCAACAATTCGGGTGGAAGATGAGATGCGCAAGAAGTTTGTTGCAAGATTTGGAGTGAGAAAAGCGCCGATCGCCCGTGAAGAAGACCCGGCTGATCCGCAGCATGTGAACGTAATGGGCAGTCAGGAAAGCATGAATTCGACTGATTCGCGTGAATCCGTCGTTTCCGCGGCGTCCATCAAAGCGGAAGCATTGGCACGTCGCAATTTCAACTACTAGTTATTCTTCTTATTGCATTTTCTTCTTCTCCTTCTTCTCTTCATTTCGCTTTCTGCTTCTTTCTGCACATCACAGTGAGTTTGAGCACTTTTTATATTTTGAAAACATTGAAAGCTTTCTTTTTTGGATATAGCGTGAACACTCTAATAGAAGACCACTCTATACTCGCAGTTTAAGCTTAATAATTTGAATTTCTATGAGAGATAGTAAAAATGTGTAAACTGAAAAAATGTTTGTCATAATATCACAAACATTTTGTTAATTACCAAAGTCTTGATATCTCTTACAGAACTTGATATACCCAAGCTCAAAGTATCAGTATATGATTGCCTTCTTGTATAGTGTTTACGGTAATCTATTTTTAACTGCAGTAATCCAGATTTTTTCTCTTACAGCACTTCTGATCCGATAGGAAAGACGATCAACGAACGGTACAACTTCAACGAGATGGACCGCAACCTCTCAGCACTGGTTAAACCACTTTGGGCCGGCACTGAAAAAGAAGAGCGCGCGGCTGAAAAAGACGAGAGCACCTCTTCTTGATGCTACCTTTCAGTTTTTGTGTGATTCATTCAATTGTATTTTTAAATCATTTATCCGAACGCTGATGCATTATTGTTTTTTTTATTAATCCTCCTTTGCCCCGTTTCAATACAACTTTGATATATTGAAAAATTTTCTGTTTGATCTCAATTCTTTTTTGCCATTCAGAGTGAAAATAAATAAGAACAATGTTTCGAAATCGTACCAACCAGATGTTTCACAGGTTTCATTAGAGAACACTTCAAAAAACGGTGGTGGTCTTTTTGCACCAGCTGGACGACAGGTGCTGATGGTCCCCCACCGAGTGATGTGCTTCTCAAATTGTCATCTTTTTCAACGAATTGTCATTGTTATTCAGATGACAAACTCTGGATTTTTCTCTTCTGGGCCCATGTGACGCGATTTATGATACTGAATGACAAAATAGGGATGGATATAAAAGAAAAGGAGAGAGGTGAAGGATGAATACCTATGAATTTCTATTTGAATCCTTACCATAGGAATCTTTTAATTCTCTTCCTGTTTATAAACATGTGTTAGAAAAAGCTTTGTCTTCTGTGGACAGAAAGAGAGAAAGGCCTGTTCCGAGTATCAACGAGCAGAAATTCTTAGCTATTAATGTGACCTCTCTAGGCACGCAACCCATCTCTATGTCTCTCCGAATCACTACCTCTTTTCGTGGTGGTTACGTCTGCGGCTATATAGTCTTTTGTGACCCGCACTCCCCTCCGCTTGGCTGTCGGCCAACCCGCCTTACGCGCGCACTCGCTCGCGATGCGTTGCCTCTCGCTTTCTTCACTCTCTTTTTAGTTGTACATTTTCTGCGCACTTTCCTTTTTTCGAAGAAGATGGCCCCCTCTTTTTCTCCTCCTCCCAACAATAAATGCCCATATCAGTATGTATGTTGTTGGGTTCTAAACTTTTTCTCACGCTAGTCCCCCCAAATTTTATATTAAATCACAAACTGAGTCATAGGTCGGATTGAACTGTTTGTTCTGTAATAATTCAAAATATTGTTATACATACATATTGTAACATTTGACGTATCGTCAGAAGATTCAAAAAAAAGATGTTTTGGAAGAGATATATGCATTGCATGACTGCATCATTCACTGGTTTCAAAATAACCAGTCGCTGATTTTTCCCGCCAAAAACATTTTTGTTTGGCATTGAACACCGCATTTTCTCACCCCATTCAAAAATGATGTGAAGTGTGAAGAAGTGTATCTCATTTCTTTCTCAAAATATCCCTTCTCTCCCTCTCAATCGATATCTGATCATCATCAACACTTCGAGATCCATCTAGTCCTGCCTTAAAACCTTTCTCCGAGTGCTCTTTCTTCTTTCTTTTGCATCGTTTCTCGGATGTTGTGCACACGTCGTGTTGTTCGCTTATATCTCTAACTCTGCCGGTTCGCTTTCATTCTTTTTTACACAAAATCGCATTGCCAATGTGCTCTCTTCCACAACGCCACCGCCTCCCCCGATTTCTGTCTTACACATATGTCAAACGTCTCGTCTCAATCTCCTGAATACCTTTGGCACATTTGCTCTTTCTCTTTCTCTCCTTTGGATCTTTTCTTCTTCTACGATTTCTCGCTGTAGTTGTGGATTTCATGTATTTCATATCGGTACACAATTTTATGGTTTCGACCTTATTACCATATCCATGTCATGTTAGCGTGTCCGCTCGAAATTAACACAACAATGCCTATGTTTCCTCGCATCAACTATTGATTTTGAAATACCTCAACCAATACACTCACTATGTTTTCTTCGGCTTTCACCTTGTTTGTACATATATTTGTCTTCATATTACCCAGACCCCCAACCCCTTTTTCTTCCATTTTCGCGTCTTTTCTTTGCTTCTACTTCACCATTCTCTGTGTGCTTAAGTTTTCAGGGGTCCAACAATAGATGGTGTGTGGCGGAATGGAGCCCGACCACCACCATATCAACGGCGACCTCGCCCATGGCTTTGAAAATATGGTATGCGTGCGATGCCGTGATGGATTCTCGATGCAAGACCAGATGGTGAACTCGTCCGGAGAAGTCTGGCATTCTGACTGTTTTGTGTGAGTCTCCCCAAGAGTTTCAAACGTTTCATGAATTCCTAATTTTCCAGATGCGCTCAGTGTTTCGAACCATTCCCCGACGGCATCTATTTCGAATACGAGGGACGGAAGTACTGCGAGCACGATTTTCATGTGCTCTTCTCGCCATGTTGTGGAAAATGCAGTGAGTATCTTGTTCTAGAGAGTGGGAAAATAAAGCCATAAATGTTTTAGATGAGTTCATTGTTGGACGAGTGATCAAAGCGATGAATGCCAGCTGGCATCCGGCATGCTTCTGCTGTGAGCTTTGCAATAAACAGTTGGCAGACGTTGGGTTCTTGCGAAATGCCGGAAGGTGAGTAGGAAAGGATTCGGAAGGAAAATGATGGTAATTTCTTCTCAGAGCTCTTTGCCGAGAATGTAACGAACGCGAGAAAGCTGCAGGACACGGACGATACGTGTGCCACAAATGCCACGCTATGATCGATGATGGACAGCACATCAAATTCCGCGGAGACTCATTCCATCCATATCATTTCAAGTGCAAGCGTTGCAAGTAAGAAAACTTCTACTAGAAAAATTTCTGAGCCATTTTTTTCAGTGTCGAACTTACTACCGCATCCCGCGAAGTGAACGGAGAGCTCTACTGTCTCAGATGCCACGACACCATGGGTATCCCGATTTGCGGAGCTTGCCACAGACCGATTGAGGAGCGTGTTATTGCTGCTCTTGGAAAGCACTGGCACGTCGAGCACTTTGTCTGCTCGGTGTGTGAAAAGCCTTTCTTGGGACACCGTCACTACGAGAGAAAAGGACTCGCCTACTGTGAACAGCATTTCCATAAGGTACTTGAAAACCTCCAAAACTAGTAATAATTCCTCTGTTTGCAGCTCTACGGAAATCTTTGCTTCCGATGCGGCGACCCATGTTGCGGAGAAGTGTTCCAAGCTCTTCAAAAAACGTGGTGTGTCAAATGCTTTGCTTGCAGTTTCTGTGATAAGAAACTCGATCAGAAGTGAGTTTGATCCGATATTAATGAAAATGATAGACATTTCAGAACGAAATTCTATGAATTCGATATGAAGCCAACGTGCAAACGATGCTACGACCGTTTCCCAACTGAACTCAAGAAGCGTATCTCAGAAAGTTTGAAGGATCGTGATGTGGAGAATCAAAGAAGATCGATGAGTCCTGCACCAAAGTAAAAAAGTTCACAAATTTATCAAGAAATACATCCCAATGCCATTTGCTCATTTCATGTCCCCTTGTTTTTATCCTATTCCTTCTTGGTGCTTCATTTTTTTCAAAAGTCTACTAGTAATCAAAACCGCAACTGCCTTATTTTTGGTCACAAATCAAAATTGTCATTCTGCTAAAACAAAAAATATTATATCCATTTCTAGTTCCCCTTTCCTTTCCTGCTATCCTCCCCACATCTATCTACTTCAGAATCTGTCTGAAAACCGTTTATGGAACATCATATAATTCGACCAAACTTTTTGTGCCTACAAAAACTTTGAAACGTTCACCGGGTCCTTTTCTGCATAACTTTTTTCTTTATTTGAACCGTTTTTAACTCGATAAAAATTATTACATACAAGTACAATTGAGAAATTATTATGTAGACCCAACCCAAAAATTATTAAGCAGAAATTTGATTATCTTCAGTATCGATCCGTTCAGAACTTGCCATCTTTCGATTGCTTGATATCAAAAAAATGACCCTGTTCTTTGACTAACAGGTTGGCAGAGATCATGGCGTCAGTGATGGATGGATAAAATTGATTTTGTGAGATTCTCACCGGCTGGACCATATCTTTACTTCTGTTTTGTTGAGCAAGTTGCTTCTTCCAAAGAGCAAGGTCCTTTTTGGCATCAAACAAGTCCCTCTCAGCTTTATCTAGTTCCTTCTCATCATAACACAACTTGATCTCGACATGAGCGTTACCATCTTCACCAGATTCCATAGCATCTACTACACATCGCTTTTTGTATTTTTTCATCGAAACCTTGAAAGCAGAACATTTTCTTCTTTCTTCTTGAATTCGAGCTTCCTCTTCTAGAATTCTTGCCTCCTCCTTTGCCAGTTTTGCTTCATCCAAATCCGGTTGCTCTAGAATCCCAGCAAGACAATATTGCCGACGAATCGATGCTGAAAAAAGGATCTCAGAATTTGCAACATTTCCAAATTAGTATGTACCTTTGAGATTTACGAAAAGCGGAAAAATTTGAGTTTTCCGCAAATCCTTATTGACTTCATCCACCGCTTGTATTCCCATGTGATCGGTGCGAGTCCAAGTGGTGCAGTCCAGAATAATCGCCGTCCAATCTGTATACCCTTGAGAATCAATGCTTCCGCTCCTCGTTTTTCGGATGATGTTTGTTGCATCCATAACGACGTCTTCAAAAGATCGACAATTCTCCGAAACTGGCCCACCAACAAAATGAATGATACGGAACGATGTCTCCTGTAAAACTTTCAAAATCAAAAGCTGTTCTTGGTGGTTTTTGATTTACCGTAGCACTGTCATACATGTCAATTGGTCGGAAATCGTTGTCTTTCACTTGCCCAAGGATTTTCACTGTTGCTCTGAAAAATAGGGTGTGAACTGTGAAAAATGTATGCAAAGCTTACTGTTGAGATTGAATGGCAATATTTAGAATAACTAGAGAAATTCCCACAGCCACACCAGGAGCGATATCAGTACAAAGAGTTGCAGTAGCGGTACCAATCCAGATGAACTGAAATCATTTAGCGTTAAAAAATTGTGACTTGAAAAAAAAACTCACTAAATCGGCTTTGGAACATCTCCACAGCATCGGCAGATCGGTACATTTTCTCAAAAGTGGCTCCACGACGACCAAAACTATTGCAGCAAGAACACAACTTGGAAGCGACTCCAATAATGGTCCAATGAACATGATAACAATCAAAATGCAAAGAGCGGCGATAAATCCTGAGAGCTGACTTCTCGCACCACACTTTTCGTTCACCAGTGTCCTCGACAAAGAGCAGGAAGTTGGGAATACCGGGAAAAATGCAGATCCGACGTTAACTAGACCAAGTGCCAGAAGCTCTTGGTTAGAATCAAGTCTGTATTTGTATTTTTTGGCGAAAATTTGTCCCATTGCCATAGTCACAGCATATGAAACGACAGCTAAAAATTACTAAAACTATATCAAAAACAAATATATGTTCTTACCGATTCCGATAGCACTGGAATAAATTTCAGCCCAGATATCGATTCTGGGAAGACTGGGTGACGGGAATCTGAAAGTTCGGACTGTCATAATGTAGCAATTTCTAGAATTTACCCTGTAGGAACGTTCTTAAGAATTTTCACCCCATACTTTTTCTCGAAGTTCATAAAATGAGATGCAAGAATAGCCACAACGATCTGGGAATAAAAAAAAAATTGAGACTTCTTCAATCTCTCACAGTAATAAGCTCTTTTGGAAACGGAATTCCTTTGATTATGCCTTTTTGTCTGTTAAAAACAGGCTCGATGAAATTTCTAGCAAAGATCAAAAACACCAAAGTACACACTGAAATGCAAACAGTGGCTATATTTGATTTGTGAATGTTTTCAGCAATGTCATCAATTGCCTAAAAATATAATGATAACGGTCGAGAATACACTGATAAAAACTCACATAAAAAAGATGAAAATACGGCTCGTTTCTTGAGGGCACTGAAAAACCACACAACTTTGGAATCTGATTCACAACTCCGTAGAAACAAGCGGAGAATGTTACTCTGAAATTGATTCATCTTTTCCCTGAATTTTGAATTATTTTACTTACGCTGAAATTGCTGTTTCCGAAAGGAAATTCATAAGTTTGTTACATCGGACAAGTGCCATGACCAACTGAATGAGTCCAGTCAGAATACACAAACTGCTGATGACATCCGTTTTTGTGATACCCGGGAATCCTGAAACAAAGATATCTAAATACGTCTGACTCCGAAAGACCTGCTCACTCTCAGAATTATCTTGGTGAAGCAGTTCTTCAACACACTTATTGACCATAAGACAAGTGATCGAGAAAACACCAATACTAGAATGAGTGGCTGAACCAAAGATGAAGTAAAGAATCGGTGGAAAAAAACTGGCGTAAAGTCCATAGACGGGTGGAAGACCAGCCAGAGTAGCATAGGACATAGCTGAAAGAATATGTTTGGCTTAAATCCGAAACTCGATCAAGTACCTTGTGGGACATTGTAAATTCCAACAGTCACTCCGGCAATGATGTCAGCAGCAAGATAACTCCACTGGTAGCTGCAATTGAATAGTTACAATTTAAAAAAAAAGTAGTTTTCAAAAAGGTCCTCTGTGACCATTTGATTTTTCCTTTGTCTAGACATCAAACAATTATTTCTATGAAAATAATCCTCATTGAATTTTTCACCTTAGAGGCCGTTTCTCCAGAATAATGTTCTTTTATACTGATAAATATTCAAAATACCGTAAAACCTGTAATACAAGAACCTTCACATAATCAAGTTTCAGCTGATTTTTCGTTTTATCCAAGATGTTGAAAATGGGTCAATAGAGGAAATTTCCCTAATTTTATAATAAACGATTTGTCAGTATACTTTTTTTTATCTTTTGTGGAAACAGAGATAAATAGGATTGAATTTAAACGTCAGGGGCTCTTCTATCATACAATTTACTGTAGTCTATGGCTGTTTTTTCGCTTCATTTGGTGAAAAGCACTTGAAACATACACAACAGCATCTTTGAAATATCTAATTTTTGATACTATTTTTTAGTTTCAGAAGGTGTTTTTCGATTTTCTGTTAGAATAGGCTAATTCAGATTTTCGCTCAATAAACGAAACAAAATTAAAATGATGCAGCTCTAAATATTTTTTGCTTATGATAATCGCAACTTATTTTTTTCCAAATAGGTTATTCTATTAGGTTGGAAGGAAAGTAACTGTCCATTTTTTTATTAGTAAGTAAAACAAAAGCAAGATTAATCCAATAATGAAAGTATGCACCGTCGTGGTCAACAACATGTTGGCAATGTTCAGGTAACTTGTGGGTACCATCCCCCCAAAAGCAAGCTGGCCGCGAATCAAAGTATTCCCCCAGTCCATTTTTTTTTCATTGAGAGTGTTTTTTTCTTCCAGATGACGTCGTATATCTCTTAATAACCAATGAAATGATAGAGCTGAATCAGTGCTTGAACGGGGGTGAAAGAGAACCGTCCAGCCAAAACGGCTCAGGTATGACGTCACTTTCCGTGAACATGAGGTTTTTCGTTTTTTTAGATACAGTCAAGTCAGACCTGAGCCGCTTTAGCGGAACGGTTCTCCCTCCCCTAGCTATCGTCCTGACTTGACTCTATCAGGTTATTGGTTATTCGGAGATATACGACCCCATATGGAGGTATGGAATTCGCAAAACTGGAAAAAATGAATATTTTGATTCGCGGCTAGCTGGATTTTGGAGGTATGGTATCCACAAGATATCTGAATGTTGACAACATGCTGTGGAACACAATGGTGCAAACTGCTTATCTTGGCTTAGTCCGGTTTTTGTATTATCCACAAACCAAACAACGGACAGTTACTTTCCTTCCAATCTAATAACTTCTGCTTTCCTCATATTCTCTAAAAAAAAAGAACCAACCGGGACATCCATTTAATAAGTGGGACTCGACGTTTGGCTGCTTTCTCAAGTCCATCTCTGCTTACAATTGTTCGGATCCCGTCTGCTTTTCTCTTGACCCAACTGACTTTTCTTCTTCTTCTGAATTGATACTTTTTATCATACTCGTCCTGAAAATATTCGATATATCAATCGTCACACCGCTCTTAGCTGTTACCTGATTCATGGCAGCTGGAATACTCGTTGCTCTAACTGAAGATGAAGATTGCCTTTTTATACCCGATTGAGGATTAGCTGAAAAAAAGTTCATTACTCAACCGGAAAGTTACAACTACGGAGGAGAGTTGTGATAAGCGATGGTCAAAGCTAAGCATGTGGAAAAACTGGTGGAAAATACACCCACTGTTTCATCAGAAAAAACATTAAATTGTTTCAAAACTGATAACGAACTCCACAACAATAAGGTTGTCCTGTGATCGGAAACGATTTTTAATGGTTTTTGACCGAAAAATAAATAAATAGAGAGAATAAATATTCTGATTGTGCATCGTGATCTTTGTATGAATATTGACAAAGGAAATACTCAAAATAGTGGGAAAATAGTTCGAAGGATGTTTTTTACTTCAAAGAATCGGGTGTATTCTACAAATCTTACAGAAACATACTGTATTATATGTAGAACAAACAATGAGCTTTGAAGTTACCAACCGTGGGAAGTACTTTTTGTTGATAAAATCTGACATATTCACAGTAGAAAAATTAATAACACGGAAACTTCCCAATTGTTACCTTGGGATTGCGATAAAACCTTTGCAAATTCAAGTTTTCTAGAGAAAAAATCGAATGTTTTTGTTGGAATTGTTGAAATTCCGTGTTCATTCTAATAGAAACCCATGTGAAAAATACGGTAATTTGGCCTATTACTTCTACAGTTCAAGCAAATATCGATTCCTCTAATAAGTTTTGAAAAATTGAAAGATGGAGTTAGTTTTCTAGTGGCTTTAATGGCTAAGAAGAAATTTCTTGTGGATGCTACATAAATGTCAACCTAAGAACCCGCGATAGGTGCCCACTGGTAATACTGTCGTCTACAGGGTGCGTCAAAGTTATTGCAACACAAGAAACTCAACCGAAAAAACTCATAGATGTTGTGCGCAAAAGTCATTTTGCAAAAGTTACGATACTTTGTATGAGTTGCAATAATTTTGGTGCACTGTATAGAGAAAATAAATGGTCAGGTTGAAGGGAGTTATCCTTATATTTTCGGTAGACTTACTTGGTATAGAGCTGTCTCTCCATCTGATCATAAAAATTGTAATGTGAAAAAAGGAAAAGAAATGAAATTCGAAAAAAAAAACAGTTCTTTTTTGAATGCTTGTGTGTTTTTCAATGTCTTTTTTTTCTATAGTAAAGTTTTGATATATTTGAAAAGTCGAACTTTCAAGAAATCTTAAAGCGAGCCGTCCCGGCCATCGTATGCTAGAAAGTGCAAAAAAAAACAAAAAAAACTCTATTAAAACCAATTTCTCAAACGTTTAAGTGAATGAGTCACTTGAAACAAGGATGATTCATGTTTCGAGAAAAGAATGAGGATGAGAAGAAATAGACGATAGAAGAAAAAAAGAGACCAACGCATTCTTTTTGCAAGCATCCGCAGAAAAAATAGAGAAGGAAGTTGTTGAAACGAGTGGTGCCACGTTTAAATGGACCAATGTATGCCTAATTTCATTTTATTAGTTGTTGTACTAATGGGGGAAGTATAGACTAAACTTTTGTAGAAAAGATAATCATACGATACAGTGGTTTTTTAGTTAAAATATGTCATCTTTTGTCTAAAGTTGTCAGGTCACATCTGATAGACTTTTTGATTTGTGTGTGTTGGATGAAAGATGAACATTTTGACGAATTTTGAGGTCAGCGACTAGGAAGTCAAAATAAATACTAAATCATGGAGATAGTTTCAGATAGCTTACTGGGAAGAGAAATGAAACATATTGTAAAAAGAAAAATATTTTGAAATGAATTTATATTATTCAGTGACTAATTGAAATTCTCAATTTTCGGAAACCAACAAAAATTGAAATATTATGAATCGCAAGCCAGAAAAAAATCCGAAAAATCATGAATCACCAAAAAAATTGCTAGAAAAATTTACATACAATGTGAACAACAATATTGGATCGGTATCCAGATGGAATATTCTATAACTCATCATAATTTCACAATAAGAAAAAAAGCAGGGCTAGATACGAGCTTTAAGAAATTGCTGTATGCTTTCTATTCATTTTTTGTTAGAAGAGGTTAACTAATGTAAGCTTGTTCAAAGAGATAACTGGATTTTTGTGATCTGGTAAAATTTTTTGAATCTTGAGAAAAATGTAAATGGCAAAAACGTTTTCGCACATAGTAGTGGAATATGAAAATTGAGAACAACAAGTATGAAACTAGAATGAAGGAATGAATAAATCGCATATTTTAGAGATCACACTTGGAATAAAATAGATTTGGAATTGTACAGAAACAAAAACTACAAACATCTGAGGTTTTTTAAAACATTTCTCAGAATTCAGAACTGTCAAAAACTATGATTGATGCAACGGAGAGTTGAAATTGATTTTGAAAATAATATCAGCCTTCAATTGAGGTGAAAGCCATTCAAATAAACTCAAACTCTGAAGGAAGCAAGCTTTAATTTTTGTGATGATAAACATTTTGAAAATAATTCTTGCAATTGAAATGACATCCTGACTTCAGCGAAAGTCTATATCTCTAAATCCTAGAAACACTGTGAGACTTCTAGGAAAATATGAATTCCAGGTTACTATCAAAAGTGTAATTGGTTGAAGACCAGTGATCAGTTGAGATAACAATTCGAATCACTTATCATTACTGTTTTTTTCTTTGGGATAGGTATGATTTCAATTGATGTATTAGTGTACTTTTGACCGATGTTCACATGAAGAAGTGACAAAAGACGGAAAATTGGGGTGTCTACAGTATGCTCCGAGATTATGAAGTCATTTGTAAGGTTTAATATATATTTTTTCGTTATAATGAAACGTGAAAACACTACAGCTCAAAGATCATAAGATTATCGATTTTAAGAAAATATTAGAGGTCATCAGACGAGGTGTGTTATGTTGACAGTTCGTTGAGGAAAGGTAATCCTGTAATCCTTTCGCCATCCTGTCATGCTGTTTTTTTCCTGTTGTGTTCCATGTCATTTATTTGTTTCTGATCGGGTCTGTTCCTCTGTCGGCGCCTGTCAGCGCCGTCGTCTAATAACTTTTCACGCTTCTAGAAAGGCCTATCAACACTCGAAATAGATCCGCATTTGATAAGTCGGCGGCGACGACGGCGGCATTTCTTAGTATTGACAGCCGAACCTGAGAAATTGAGAAACGACGTTGATTTTATATGTAATACCGGTCTATGGCGTCGTCACGTCGATGGTGGTGCCTCTTCGACGGGGGCTTAGCCAATAACACTATATCCTCTCTCCCGTCCGCCGGTCATTATCACTGACTGTTTATCGATTTCCACCTCCTAATTCCCCCTCCTCACTCTAACATTATCTTCAGTTGGTCGCCGTCTCTCTGTGGGGTCCCCTCATGCGCATAGTAAGTGTTGTGATAAATGCGTATGTCGGCGTTTTTGTATGTGTGGTGCCGGTTTTTCCGATCCTTCCTCTCTTTTTCAATCATCTCTGTCTCTTTTTCTCTCCTATCTGCGCAATAACGTGTTCAACCGTTTTTTTTCTCGCCTTGATTTACAACCATTTTTCTCAAACTTTTATTGCCCTCTGCTATCAATGGGTGTCCATTAATTTCGGATGTTCGCTTTTTGCAGATGATACCATGAAGGAAAGAGTCGAACTGAACAACAATGGAAGATCTATCGAATCACATTGCAAGGTGTTCCAAAACAATAAGGTAATCTTGGGGTCTAAAATTCTTTGTCAAGAGGTTTAGTGAAATTCCCAGAGAAGTGAGTCATTTATCAACTGACCACCACCATAAATCTTTTTAATGTCTGTTAAATGTCTCTCAGCGGACGTAGTCCCATTCCTTCAATTTCCAAATTCTCTTACCAGATCTCTTTTTCTGGATTGGTGTAACTAAGAACGTAGAAGATGATATGGGAACGGCTGAATGCATGAAAATGATAAATTGCTTTTCCCCTCTCTCTCCACGAATGGAAATAATGGCGAACCTCCATTAATCACTCTATTTCTTCTGTGTTCTGATACCTTATACAAAACAAAGAATGGAGATTATAAATGATACTGTGTCCTCTCTTCCTTTCCCTCTAATTTACAATTATAATTTGATCAATCTATCCGATTTGATCAGTTGTCATGCAAGCAGAATTAACAAACAGAACCCAGATATTTACTAGTTGTTTTGTTTTTCAGTGGGAGCCTCGATATATTGTCTGCAAATTGCAGTCGGATTTAGAAGATTCCTTGTTGACAGTCTACAAAAGTCGTAAAGATCGGCAGAAGAACAAAGCGAAACAGTCCATTCTCCTTCAAAACTACATCGGGTTTGAGAAAAGTGAACTTTAAAAGCGCCGTTAAACCCCACTCATACACGCGCATCTTTTTACAGGTTTCCCGTTGAAGAATAAGAATCAGACAATCACAGTTATCACGAAAGAGTATAATGTGGTTCTTGCATTCCATCTTCCTGAAACCCTTCTACAATGGGAAACTTGGTTCAAAAACGTTGGTGGCCAGAGTGAGTATGATTGATGTTGATCATCACCTGTAAATGACTTCTTAACAGGCACGACACATTACATGCAGTTACTGAAATTCCCCAATCAAGAACTAGATCCGTCGTTTGTCAACAAAGAAGTCAGATGTCACATTCACGTGAGACCACCGGAAATTGAGATTGAAAAAATAAAAAAAAAATTTTTCAGGACTCGCGGCTAGCTGTAGTTTATGGATATCCGGCAGAAACTTTGTTATATTGTGAAGTAACATCTGTAGACATTTCCTGTGATCATATGAACCATCGTGTAACAGTAACACCATACGATGGAAGTAGCGAGTTTGTATTCTGTTGTCCTTCAATAGAGACATTCTCAAAGTTCTTGAAAAAAGCAAATGAGGATGAGGGATCATTAAATTTGTATTTAAACAAGAAAAGTGCTGAAGGAGTTTGGTTACAAAATGTGAGTATTTTGTCTAAATAGAAGAAACTTGGCTATAACATCAACAAAAAAATTATCCAGACAAATATTTCGGACCATTTGAAGCGTACAGTGGAGTTTAAAGTTCGAATTGAAAAAAGTTTTGCACTCGGTTTGTTCCCCAATGACCTCAATTGTTTTTTTCCGAATTTCCGTAAAACTTTTATTAGAAAATTAATTTTGAAAGGAAAGTCCCCCTAATAAAATTGCCCTCCTAGAGGGGCTTAGAAAAATAGAATGGCCCCCACCAAAATGCGTCGTTTGAAATTGAAAATTGCTGATCTTTTTCATTGAAACCATTTCAGGAATTCCGAATTTCTCAGTGTTTTTGTTGAAACACTATTTTTTTAATTTGCTCAATTTAGGTGGAATTGATCATTCTTCAAGAATTTTGAAAGGAATTTCACCAAGTTGTTCTATGAAATATTTTGAAAAAAATAACCAAAAAAACTTGAAGGACGCCTCTAATTGAAGCAATCCTGTAATAAAAATGAGCCCTCAAAAGTTCACCTAGAACAATAGAAAGGTAGGCCCTTCTAATACAGGTTTTACTGTATTTGCCAAGTAATAAGCCATGTGAAAGTTCTGATTTTTGCACAAGATTTGGAAGTCATCGTTGGAAAACACATTTTTAAAACCTGGGAAGGTCTTTTGTGAGAAGATGGAACAAATTACAAGGATTCAAAGTTTTGATTACTACCGTATTCCCTCGAAAATTTTGATGATTCTTCAGATTAGGAACTATTTGAAAGTTTTCTCCATCTTACATCCCCCATTCGCCGAATTATAGATATATTCACCCCTGTTAGTTTGCATTTTCCATTCATCACTTCGAGCAGACTGTCAGAATCATTTTTTTTTCCGCATTGTTTAGATTGGAAGCCGTACACGAAAGCATCAAGATTCCATCTCGGGACTGTCCGGCACTTTCAGCGGATGGTTTAATCTTATGAGTCCAGCGACGCCATCAATCAACCAAAGCGAGATTTTCTCTTCACGGTGAGAAAATATTATCCATATATATGTTTGATATCGTTTTCTCCATTTTTTCCGTTGTTCCCCATATCTCTCCTAATCACACACAAATATCATTTTCCTTTTGTCAGCGCCGCTATCAACACTGTCGGCCTCGGAAAGCCCAAAGAGAAGACGCCGGTGGGAAGTTTGAAATTCCTTAACGGATTACTTCCCGAAGTGACATCACTCACACCTCCACCGCTTCCACCACCGCCAACTAGGAAGTTTCCAAGAACGGCAGAGTTTCCATCTATAGAAAAGAAAACTACCGAATCCGAAGTGCTCTCAGCTTCAGACAATGCTCCTTATCTAGGTTGGATAGTTTTTTTTTCCAATTGAAAAACTAACAAAAAATGAATAGTTCACGCTGATCATTCATTTCATTATTTTTTCCAAAGAACATGTTATCACAGATAATAAATATTTATGATCACTTATTGAATTACAGGTCCAGATGCCAAACAACGAAGTACAAGTTTACCAGACTATGTCAATGTGTCTCTCGTGATAAATTCATCACCACCACTTCCGCCACTACCGTCGATTCAACACACACCGGAGCTACCGCCAAAGGAAGAACCTACGCCAGTTATCGAATCTCAAAGTAATATTTGTTTTTTTTTGTGACTTATCAACTCTCTTGTTTTCCAGGTCATCATGAAGTCGTACATCGAAAGGCTTCAACAATGACCACACCTCCTCGCGAAACCCCGAGATTTTCGAACTGTGGAGAACACAAAGATTTCTTACCGAGTCGACCTCCCTCGTAAAATTTCAGAAAACAAGAAAATATAAAAGTAAATAATTTTTTTAGAAAAGGAAGGTCAATGATGGACTTCACCACTCTTCCATATGAAGAATCAGGATCTCGTTTTGAAAGTTGGCGGAAAGCCAAAAAATTCATATCCTCATTTAGTCAAAAGTCACACCAAGATCTCCTCTACAGAAGCGTTCCAAAAATTGGTCAACGAAAAGCGTCAAGTACAAGCGCATTAATGTATCAACCAGTTGAGATGAGAAACAATTCGTTTTTCCGAAAAAGTTTGAATCCATTCAACCAGTCACAAACGTTAAAATCAAAAACTAGTTTGGCTTCGAGTTCATCGAGTAGTGGTGAAATTGATGCATCGGCTCCTCCAGCGCTGAATCTCGCAATAACTAGTCCACCACCTTCATTGACACCAAGAAAGGATAATAAGGTATTTGTACAGAGTATTGATTAGTTAGCAAGTTATTGCTTTACAGCTAGATGAACCTGAAAATATACCCGCGGGTTTAGTTCGTCTCCGTGAAGAGGGTTCGTTGAAAATGAGAGGGGGTGTGAATATTGCTCTGGCACGACGTTTAGCTGCTGGTATCAACGGATCGTTTTCGGTAAAAATTTCATATCGAACAATTTTATAAGAAATAATCTGTACAGAAATATGACGGTGACCGCGGCCTAACCCATTTCTACCCCCAAACGCCTGAAGAAAAAGAACGGAAAATTGAAGAGTTTCTCGAAGAAAAGAGACGAACTGCACAACAAAAACGATTGGAATCTCTCGAAAACCCGCCAGATTATTCAGATGATCGTGAGTTTGGCATTGCTAGGATTGATTGATATTTTAATATTTCAGCTTTGGCGGGAGTGGTATCTAAAGAAAGAGAGAGGATGCGGTTGATGGAAAGAAGGGCATCTTCGGTATCATTCAATAAATCTAATACATTGCAAGTGACAAGCCTGAATGATGTTCAGAAGAAAGCCTTGGCGTCTGTTACCATTATCAGAAGACATCGATCAAATTCTGAAAGGTTGTTGTTCATTTTTCTCACTTAAGATTTGCGTAATCTTAAAATATCAAAATATTCATATTTCCAGAATCTTCAAATTTTAAACTTTGATTATTCCAGCTCTGGATCTTCCTCCTCCTCTCAATCGATTTCTTCTGGTGCCCGATCAAAAATCTCTATCAAAAAACGAAGCAACTCCCCACCCCAAATTCAAGCGCCTACGATCATTCAGCGACCTCCCAGCTTGCGAACACTGACCGTTTGTTTTTCTATATTCTTTAGGAACGAGAACATAATTATATCAGTCTATTGAAAAGAAGCTTTTTCTAGAAGAAAGAAGGAAATTCGTTCCGGTCTCTGGACCTTCTGGTTTCATTTTCATTAGCATTAAAACGACATAGTGACTCAGAAAAGGAAGAGAACCTTATTGCAGCTCCAAAAACAATCGTCGTCGTCAATTGATTCACTCAATTCAACACAAACAACACGAACCACGTCATCTGTCAGATTGCCGACTCGTATTCTTGTAAATCAATCGTCCAGTGAAGAGTCGCGATGTAGATAAACGAGCCCCTTTTGTATTAAACCTAAAAAATTTCAGGTAGTGAAGAAAGTTCCGGAAAATCTCCACACTATTTCGAGAGCAACGTGAGTTTTCTGGCCCTCGTCATTCTTTGCTCTCATACTTCCTTAATTCATCCTTCTTGGGGCACACAGCTCATCTAAGTTTATCCTCCGAGTTTCCCAGCACTTCCTCATCACTTTTTCTTCGAATCATTTGAAAAAGGAAGAAGGACAGGCACAAAGCTTTCATATTTAGATTGGTCCCAAAACGGCGGCGACGGCGACAACCCCACCACCATTGGAAGCCGTACCGCACCAGAGTCTAGCCAGACAGGAGGAATCGCGACGAATGTCCGAGGTTGTTTGAGCATATTGGGGTAAACAACAATTATTTTGTGGTCATCCAGGGTCAAGGAAGTAATTCCTCAGAGGCGATGGGCCAAGTGCGGAAAGGATATTTTCGGAAAAATAATAAGACGCGGAGGAGTAATCGACATCTGGACGAGACGTCGTCCGCATCGCCGTAGTAGTTGTTGTGATACTTAAAATTGAAGAAAAAACATAAGAATTCTTGACTATCCTCGACTTGATGGCCGAACTCATCATAACCTCAGTGTTTGCATTACTGTCATAACTTATATACTTTGTTGATTTTTTCTTTTTCTTTTGATACGGGTACCTGTTTTTCTCTTATTGACACTGTAATTGATCTGCTTGATTTTGAACCGATAACCGATTCAATTTTTTTCTAAATATAATAAACACAAAAATGTTCCTCCAAAACGAACAGATATTCAAAAAAAATTTTATTGATTGATTATGTTTCAAGCAAAGAGAGGGTTTTCAACAGGGAAAATTTTAAAGTTTAGGACGACCCGATAATGGCAAAACGGCAAAAATACTTTAGTAATAAAAGCTATAAATATGAGGCAGTTCGATTACTTGTAGAATTCCATCAGCGGATGAATAAATCGCTCAAATTTGTGCAATTGTTTGCAGAGACCTCGTTTGAATTCCCGATTGAATACTGTATAAATGACTGGGTTGATTCCAGAGTTGCCTGAAAAACAAAAAATTGTTACTTGGAAAATTTTACTAATAATAACGTACAATAGCCTAACCAGAAGAAGAATTTGAACACAAGTGGAGGAGCCTCATGCCCAAAAGCACCAATTACGTAGATCATCTGAAAATTGGTAAATTGACAATTGTATCTTTTTCAAGAAAGTAAACTTACAAAAAATGGGAGCCAACTTAAAATAAAAGCGGATAGAATGATTCCGAGCAGCAATGTTGCCTGACGTTCCTTGGCTTTCAGCTTTCGTTTTCTCTTCTCGCAGAACTTTTTTTCTTCCAGCTTCCGCGCCAGATCAGATGATGGAGGACTGTTGTGGTTGGTGTCTAGGGCAATCTAAAAATTTTTAAAATTAGAATTCATAAAATACGTTTTGTTAACTTACACTAACCTTGACCCCTTGCCTTGGAAGTTCTTCAGAAATTTTACGAAGTTGCCAGCACACTTTGTTAATCATGTCCCGATTGGATGCGGGTTTCTCTTTCTCATCATCAGCTGGGTCGGAGTTCTCTTCGAGTTCATATTCCATGTTATGTCTCTCTGAAAATCAATTATCAGTATTGCGCCAAAGTCTCCTAATTACCATTGGTGCTACTTCTTATAGTCAACATGTTCAATGTGTGATCCCGCCGTTCAGTCTCCTTCAGTCTCTGCCTGCTATGACGAATGGTGATACTGTAGATTTTCGCATAAACGATGATGAGGATGACAACTGGAATGTAGAAGGACCCTAGGGACGAGTAGAGCACATATCCTGCAAAAAGTTCCGGTGTCAATTCTTTGGCCTTTTTTGTTGCAAAAAGAAAGATGCATACCGAGATCGGTGCTGACGGAGCATTCTCCCTCTGCCCTTTCCGGCCGCCATCCGAAAATTGGTGGGAGACAAATGAGAAGGGACACAATCCACGATACTCCTGAAAATAGTTCTTTAGAATTTTCTAAAATCGAATCTCTAATGAATTCTATGAAACTGAGTGAGAAAATAAATATATACTAAAAAGAAAATGCCAAGAATCTGGCGTCTAATAATAGTGCGTATACTCACCAATATAAATGAACATTCTGAGTGGAGTCCTCGTGGTCGGATACGTAAGTGGAGATGTGACCGAGAAGTAGCGATCCAAAGAAATTGCACAAATGTGCAGAATAGATGCTGTTACAAAAAGAACGTCCAGTGCCAGCCACATTTCGCAAAGCACGGTCCCTGAAATTGCTTCTCATGGCTTAGAAGTCTTTTTTGTTTATAGTTACCCATTGTCCATTCACCCACGATTTCGTAAGTAAGGGTAAGTGGCATGACCAATAAACCGACAAGCATATCCGCGACTGCCAGACTCACGATTAGCCAGTTCTGTCTCTGCATTCGCAACTTCCGATCCCGGTACACGGTGACGACAACAAGCAAGTTGCCGAATATGATAATCTGCAAAGATCAGGATTAGGGTGTAACAGCGTTAATATGAGCAATAAAGCTTTTTTAATTTTTTTCCCAGGTCACCGAACACCTAAATAAACAACTGTACTTCCTGCTTCGAGTGTACGTTTTTGTGCTCTTTTTCTTCTATTCATATAATAAGCTTGGAGATGCCACAACGGAAAATAAAGAATTTTGAGTTGTATTCTAAACAATTAAAATAAGAAAAAAAAAGCTCCACATACCCGCATGACTCAGATTTTTATAATTGGTATCCTAAGAATCATAAAACTCTCACTCACCAACATGACTGTGAGCATTGACGATATCGTGAGCACCGCTTCGCCTAGATTCAGGCAAGCGACTTTGGTGTCGCTTTCACTGCAGTTCAGATTCCACATGGTTTCTTACTAGTTCATGGATGTTTCTGGTAAATTGAGGAATTGTGGAACAGGAACAAAAAAAAGAAAATGGAGGAAACGGGAAAAATGTGAAAATGAGCTGTAGGTGGAAGATGAAGGATGAGTTGAGGGAATAACAAGCAAAATCTGGTCTTCTGGGATTACAATTGAAAGATTGGTCCAAAGTTAGAAGGAAGGAAAAAACAAATATGGAAAATCTTAAGAAATGGATGTGTATTAACCACCGGCTAAGAAAATCTAGAAAGACACTGAAACCATAAAGTGATATTTGCTTTCGTTTTTAGGGGGAGTGGGAGGCTCCCGTTTCATTCCCACGTCTGGAATGTCATTCATTGGAAGGTTCTTTTTTTCTATTTTCTGAATGCGACGGTTTTTCACTTATTGCCACCGCCCGGTTTTCTGAGAACTAGAAGGAGAAAATAAAAAATACCTCGTGTGCAATTGGGTAGGGACGAACGGAACTGAAACCCTGTGACACTGATGATTCTACTTTTCGATAACGGAAAACCGACCGGAAATTAGCCGCGGGGGGGGGGGGGTTGGGGCCCAGAATAAAAAATATTGTTGCCTATGGAGTGAACAAAGAAACGAAAGAAATTTAGACGTGTAAAAAAGTAGGAAGATTGAAAAAAGAAGATTCGTAAGGGGAGGGAAAAAATGAACGTGTCTCAGACCACGTCAGAAGCTTATCCAGAGATTACATGTGCCGAAGACGGGGACCTCTCAACCATTTTTTGTGTGAGGCTTTTTGCTTAAAAAATCTGACGAAGACTACGAGTTATGAACTCTTGCGTGAATAGTTTATCAGTTTGATATCTGACTCCGTCGTGTTTAGCTGAATTTTTCATAACCCTCCATTCACTTCCACAAAAAACAGATTTGTAGAGTGAAAGAGAGACCAACGAAACTATTCAGAAAGAGATATCCAAAAAACGATTTTCAATGGATACATAACATTTTACACAACGTAACGTTTCATGGTGGTCATAATAACAGTAGCAAAGTTTGAAAACTGAATATTGTTTGGATTTTGCACGGACTCAGAGGTTTACTCGAACGAATAATCTTCAAAGATCATCAGCAAACCCGTCTCATCTCCGGATGGGGTTTTTGAACTGTGAGAGTGGGGCGACCGGAGCAAGGGCATGCAAATATCCGGTCGGTGAAAAACTTGTGTTTAAATTAAATGAATTCGTTTCTGATTCGTGAGCATTGGATCTTATCTGTCTCACTTTTTTGCCTAAATAATTCTGAGCGATGAACATGTTTTTCGAAGTGAACGCCCATCTCAGGCTTCTCATGGAAAATTAAACTTTCAAATTATTGTTCCTCTTCTTTCTGATAAAAAACAACTAAAAACAAAATTTCGCACTTTTTGAAAGTTTAAAATTAGATCATGTTTTATTACTGTAGTCCTGTTCTAAAATTTGATTGCTGTCGGGTGTTCTGCACAACAAATTAAAATTGGACGATGTCTGGATCAGAAAGTGAACCTAATTCCTGGAATAACCAAAAAATTATGTCACACAAAAGGGCGCATCACATTTCGAGGAACTAAAAATAATAGGCTCAAAATTTGAATGCGAATTCTCGACGCAAGTGCCAAAACAACAGGAAAAAAAAGAAAAAGCACACACAGAATCAGAATTAATTAGGGGATTAATCGAGGCAATGTTTCTTTCTACGACGTGTTTTTTTTTGTTCATGGACTTGTTCAGAATGTCTAGCCTATGAATGAGAAGATATGAAAACAAATATTCAACATGTTTGCAGAATTGGTTTCAGACAAAACAGAATCTGGAAAAAGAGAAGGAATGCATCTTGGTGGTCATTAGAGTTAAGAACGCTCGAATTATCAAGAAAAGAAGAAAAACACAATGTTTTGATTTGCATGAGAGAATCAGAGTAACAATGTTCCGGAATTGGGCGGCGAGGGGGCGGACAGACTCTCCTCTTCCAACTCCAGATGCTCCAGATGCGAGAGCAGCCCTTCTCCTGGACTCCGCCCATTTTTCTCTTCATGACAAATGTTTCTTCTTGATTATTTTTCAGGATAAAACAAGAGGAATAAGACAAAAGTAAACTGATAGAAATAAGTGAATAACTAAGAGGGATTTTTGATCGAAAAGAAAAACTCTAATACACTCAAAAATGAATCATGACCTATCCAGCCGTGCATGAGCAAAGCTGATGTGATAAAGAAAGGGGAAACGCCGAGTTGGTTTTTTGTATTCAAAACGATTCTGTTTTGTGATCAACGAGACAGAAGATAAAACAATGGAACAAGCCTTTCCGATGTTCACATTCACATTCTAAGAAAATGAGTGAGACATCTTTTTGATAGATATTAGAAAAATAGGAAAGTTTGCAATAAAAAACAGTACTGAAATTTGAGCTCTCGCTTGTTGAACTACTACTCAACATTTTTCGAAAAGTGAAGTCGAATGTGTTCCTTGGAAAAAAGAACTAATTATGTTTTCTTGAAAAGAAATGGGGAAAAAAGGAACACCCTGACTGCAATTGAGACTTTCTTTCTCTCATGCCCTTCCTCAGGAAGAGTCATTTGCCACGTTAGTGACTCAGTACCACATTCAGGAAAAAAAAGTGAATGAGTAGAAAAAAAAGTCGGAGTAAAGCGGTAGAAAATAATTCTGACATTTGAGACCATACTCTATAATTTACAAAGAGCGTTTTTGTTTTTTCACACCTTTCCAAATTGACTACCTTTTTTTACCGCTTTATGTGGGCCAGCAAAAAACTTGTGATCTGCACACCCTGTGACTGATCCAGATTTTTTTTTCATGGAAAAGCTCGGTGCACCGGAAATTATACTTTTGTGGAATTAGATTTTATGGAATAGTATTAAAATTCCTGAAAAACACGTCAATGTTTTTTTAGACGTGATAAATCAAAACCGGATGTCCAACAATGATGAAAAGCAGGAAACTTTTTTCACCCCTCATTTTAGAAAAGGGAACCACTTTTCAGAGCCGATTTACAAACTTAACGCAGCGCGTATGAGCAAAAGCATACCAAAAATATCCAGTGCTAACGTTTTTCGCCCTTGGCTATTTTCTCAGATTCGAGAAAAAATTTCTCCCAGGGAAATCTTCTAGGGCAAAATGGTTAAAACGTCCTGACGACATTTTTCAGATTGGGAGAATTTTTCCAGAAGCCGTGTTTTTGGGAATATCGGCTTCAGTACCAATCTTTCTGATTACCTCTGAGCAATCGTTTAGAAAATTAGATGAGTCCATTTCCAGACACCCTTCTGATCTTATTATTCTAAAGATTCAGTCATATACCATTTCAGGAAATTGGTTGGCCCAAACCAGAACACCATACACAGAGGAAAAAATCATGAAAAAAAAACACAATGTGACTTTCAGAGAATATATGAAGCGAAACGAATTAAATCACAGTCACAGAGTAATGCGAGATAGGAAGAAAATAAAGTTCTAATGGTTAAGGAACATTGCCCTACTTGGATTAGGAATTTCGGAGAACCAGAGAACCGGATGGTCAGGGGCCTCAGACAAAAAACAAGAAAAAGTTGAATTTCTTAGTAGCGCAGCTCAATCTAAAATTGAAAATATACAGACTAAACGCAAAAAAAACTAACTTCGCAAAATATTTATAAGGTGGAAGAAGAGAAGGGCGAGGTGGGTTGTAAGTGACGATCAGTAGGAAAAGTCTGTGGCAAGAATCAAAACATGCTCAAAGATTCATTGTAATGGTGACTAACGGCGAAAGCGGAAAGTTATTTTCAGTTTGGGTGGGGGCAAGGGATAAAGTATAGATCTTACATTTGGGAAGTTTCTATTCCAGATCTATTTTAAAGACAACTGACAACTTTGATACGGATTGGATTACGGTATACTGTGCTGAAGAGCCTTTGATTTCAGTTCACGTCATTCTGAAAGATGAGGATCTTAGAAATCCACACCCTCTCTACACACATCTATATGTTATTCGAAAATACCCGTTTCTTGTTCTGCACGGTGCAAATGAAATCCATGGAAGAAAGCGGAAAACATACGTCAATTGTGTATGGAGAAAAGAAATTTCGTCTTTGAAATAGGTTTTGAAATGAACAGAATGCAGAAAATATGAATTCAAGAATGGAAAAATAAAGTTGGAAGTTATTTTCTATGAAAAATTGGGGCTTTGGAAGTTTATGTTGTCATTTGTTTTTTTTTTTTTCATTCCGTACTACACAATTATATTCGCAACATATTGTGCTTGTTGAAAAGAAGCACATAGATCGCACGATTTTCAGTTTTGCATAATCGCTGTTTTCAATTTTTCATGCTCGATGAAAAAAAAACCTTCACAGAAGCTTTCAGTAGAATTGAAAACAAACAAGACAAGAGAAGCCCAAGATGATGATTTCTAGACTCATGGTTTGCAATTCAAATTGGATTTTTGAGACGATGAGAAAACAATGAAATATGAATAATGACCATAACCAGACAGACTGTAAATTTGAGACACGTACCCTGAAAACAAAAGGAAACGTGATAGGAAACGGTGTCTAGAACAGATTGTCTGAAAGTTGAAGAACAAATGGAGGATACTACTCCAACAGAATTGCTGTCGAAGAAAAGGATGCATCCGCCATGCCGCTGATATATGTGTTTTTGCCGGTTCGAGGCTTGACTCGAAAAAAAAGTGAGCTCTTCTAAAATATACTGCCGCCCGGTGTTTATATTTTGCCAACAAAAAACTGGTGGAGAAGTTTGAACGAGGAAAAGAAGGGTTCCCGACGCATCTCATTGTCAAATGAGGGAATTTAGCGTTCGTTTTGAAAAAGTGTCTAGTCTGTAGAAGAAAACAACAGAACAAAGATAAATAATGTAATTATCTAAAAGCAAATCGGAAAGACTAAAGATAAAATTCGTCCTCGTGGTTCCATTTGACCGTTTATACAAGAATAATTAAAATCATTCAAGCTGTAAAAAGAAATCCAGAAGCGAAAA